CAGATTTGACGTAAGATTTGGTAATGTCTCTACAGTGCTGTTTACTTGCTGGAGTGGAAGCTATAGCTGAGAAGCTTCAGTGAAAGCATCTTCCTGCTTCATTCATTCTAATGATATGTGCTTTCTCACCTCCCTTTGTTGCTTCTTGATCACTACCCTACCAGTCATTAGCTAACCAGTCATTGGGCGCAACTCTGTGGAATCAAGCCCTTGCTCTTCTAGCAGGATGTCTACCTCCACTCAAAGACAGAGTGTGGACCTAGTTATGTCAGTAGTGGTGGAGGCTACAAGAGGAGTGTGAGATTAGAAAAAAAACAAACACACATACTTATCTCCATGCTGCAGCATTGGTTTGGTGCTGCAGCTGTTCCCAAGATTGAGAACTGAGCGATCACATGACTGTTGATTGCTCCATTCTCGGTCTTCCAAGAGCAGAGAGCATGCACAAACCTTTTCAATTCATTAGATTGTCTCTTAACTTATTGTCTCCATCGTCTCCAGCAGTCAGCAGTTACATCTATCCATCCCAACTACTGATCTACACCGTGCTCTCCCACCACTCAGTGTATTCTCCCATAGTCACTTCTCATCATCTTTGACAATGCTCACCTGCCTGTAGACAGGTTGCCTAATGGTGGTTAGTGAGTTGCTGCCCTAATTGGGAGGGAGAGGGTTAATTCCTTATGCCACTGCTCCCGAAGTTGTCTTTGTGGGCTTCCTGGGGCCGACCCACTGGTCCTGTGGTGTTATAAAAAGCGACAGAGGTCTGGATCAGGCACACACGCATGGTAGAGAGATGGAGTTCCCACAGGCTGTGACCTGTGCTGGTCGATGCAATTCTAATGGAGACTTATGTCCTGAAGCTTTTCTACATGTAGAAGACACCAGTTCTGGGGATCTGCCACTATGGACTTTCTCTTGTTATGAGCTTCACCTGAGCAGGTATGCTGGGGCAGCCAAAAACCTGAGTAAGGGACTAGGGTAGACAGGTATATACCAAAAACCTTCAGTAAAGCTTTTTGAAACTCTGCCTATGCCTGGTCTGAAGTTATTCAAAAGGGATGTGTACAAGTAACTGGCACACACGTGGTTTCCAATCTGGGCCAGTAGGTACATTGGGGTATGAAGACAGCAATTGGTTACCAAGGGTAACAAAGGTTTAACAAGCATCCTGTCATGTACCTGTGAAAGGTGGGAAGGAGTTGTTGTCAGCATTATCTCCTCTGGCAGTCCATCTCTCATAGCAACAGAAGTAGATCAGCGTTCAGAAGTTCTCAGACTGTGCAAAGGTACAGAAGAGAAAGACTTCAGTGCACACATGGAGTTTGCACTAGGTGCACAGCAGGATTCCATTCTGTTACTGGGAGTGAGGTAGTGGAGATACAGACAGATTGAGCGGGCATCGGCTCAGTGTGTCCCTCTTAAATGCAACAAGTGACTGTTGTGGTGTGCACTGACATAAGCTTGAGAGAGGTAACCGGAGTTCAGTTCATTGCTCAAGTGTACACAGTGTACGTCCATCTCTGAAATGGAGGTCCGCCTTAAGTTTGAGTTATCCCTGAAAGCGGCCTCCACCCTGGCCCGGGCATAGGTGAGCACGGCACAAGTAAAGGTACCCCATGTGCAAGGCAGTGACCCTGTCCAAGGTGCCCAGCGTAGCCCAGAAGAACCCACCCTGGGGTAGGCCTCTTATGTTACCCATATTTTGGTGCCCAATGAGGAGGGGAAAATGGAGGAAGTACCACCTACCCCTACCCCACATGCCTAGACCCAAACTCCACTTCAAGCCCACCTCATTCACACATTGGCTGCCCTATCACTAGGGTGTACAGACTAATGGTGGCATTTGTCACAGACCTGCAGGTGCACTTCTTTCCCCTTCCCCTTTTTTCTGACAAATACATTTTTTGGCATCTCTGGTACAAATTACCTTAGTGCCTTTTTTGCTCCCCCCCATCCAGGTTTACCATGATATATCTGGGGTGTGTTATGAGAGGGTAGGTGAATCTGGGGTGTCATGTAGGACGTTAGGTAAATCTGGGGTGTGTTGTGGGGGGACAGCTGAATCTGGGGTGTGTTGGGGGGCGGTAGGTACTGTAAATCTGGTGTGTTGTGTGGGAAGGGGTTAGGTGAATCTGGGGTGTGTTGTGGGAAGGGTGGTAGGTGAATCTGGGCTGTGATGTAGGGGGGTTAGGTAACTCTGGGGTATGATGTAGAGGGGTGAGGTAAATCTAGGGTGTTTTGTGGAGGGGGGTAGGTAGATCTGGGGTGTGTTGTGGAAAAGGTGGTAGGTAGATCTGGGGTGTGTTGTGGAAAAGTTGGTAGGTAAATATGGGGTGTGTTGTGGAAGGGGGGTAGGTAAATCTGGGGTGTGTTGGGGGGGCTGTAGGTGAATCTGGGGTGTGTTGTGGGAGAGGTAGGTGAATCTTGGGTGTGATGTAGGGGATTAGGTAAATGTGGGGTGCGTTTTTTGGGAAGTGTGGTAGGTAAATCTGGGGTGTGTTGTGGGGGGGTAGGTTAATCTGGGGTGTGTTGTGGAAGGGGGCAATTAAATCTGGGGTGTGTTGGGGGGCTGCAGGTAAATCTGGGGTGTGTTGTGGGAGAGGTAAGTGAATCTGCAGTGTGATGTAGGGGGGTAGGTAAATCTGGGATGTGTTGTGGGAGAGGTAGGTGAATCTGGGGTGTGATGTAGGGGGGGTAGGTAAATCTGGGGTGTGTTGTGGGAGAGGTAAGTAAATCTGGGGTGTGATGTAGGGGGGTAGGTAAATCTGGGGTGTGTTGTGGGGTGTTTAGGTAAATCTGGAGTATGATGTGGGGAGGGGGGGGAGGTTAGGTAAATCTGGTATGTGTTGTGGGCAGTGGGAAAGGTAAATCTGGGGTATGTTGAGGAGGGGTTAGGTAAATCTGTGGTATGATGTAGGGGGTGTTAGGTAAGTCTGGAGTATGTTGAGGGGGGTTATGTAAATCTGGGTTGTGTTTTGGGAGTGGAAGTTAGGTAAATCTGGGTTGTGTTTTGGGAGGGGGGAGTTAGGTAAATCTGGGTTGTGTTTTGGGAGGGGGAGTTAGGTAAATCTGGGTTGTGTTTTGGGAGGGGGGTTAGGTAAATCTGGGATGTGTTGTGGGCAGTGGGAAAGGTAAATCTGGGGTATGTTGAGGGGGGGGGGGGGGTTTAGGTAAATCTGTGGCATGATGTAGGGGGTGTTAAGTAAGTCTGGAGTATGTTGAGGGGGGTAGGTAAATCTGGAATTTTTTTAGAGGGGGAGTTAGGTAAACCTGGGTTGTGTTTTGGGAGGGGGGTTAGGTGAATCTGGGATGTGTTGTGGGCAGTGGGAAAGGTAAATCTGGGGTATGTTGAGGGGGGGGGGGGTTAGGTAAATCTGTGGCATGATGTAGGGGGTGTTAGGTAAGTCTGGAGTATGTTGAGCGGGGTAGGTAAATCTGGAATTTTTTTAGAGGGGAAGTTAGGTAAACCTGGGTTGTGTTTTGGGAGGGGGGGTTAGGTGAATCTCGGGTGTGTAGTCGGGGACAGTGAGGCCAATGTACAATAAATGGTATTATGAACCAGCAGAGCAGACTTTGAGGCTTTCTATCCTGCCCGTGCAGAATTACCACCATGATCTACAGCACAGAAATAAGCAGTCTGTGGCTCAGGTACTGCCCAGTGGCACCTCCAGGACCAGTTTCTCCCCTCCAAAATTCAGAATATTTTCCAGAAAAGGCAGTTCACAGACAAACGTTTCAGCTGCATTTTGCTGCTTGCCTACACTTTCACATTAATAATGTTTTTTGCTGTTTGCAATATAATGATATAATATAATGTGAATAAAAAACCTGTCTCTCTCTTTTGCCAGGCTCATTATTACCAAAACCAAAATCTGACTATCCAGGTAAGGGGTGCCTGTAGAAAAAAAAACAAATTGTGTAGCTTTGACCAAAGTTGAGTAATGCTCTTGCTATAGGTGTTAGCCATTTACATACCTCCTGAAGCCTGGCTGAAAAACTCCCACATATTGCTTCATCCTATCCTGCCTTGTTGCTAGGGACACTGCTAAGAGACACCTATTGGTTACTGTTCATCCCCGCTATCGCAGGAGCAATCTCTTGAACACTGAGCTCAGAGCTACTACATCAGAAGAGAGAAAACACATATGGGGGCTATTTTGAATCAGAGCAAGAGCTCACTCCTATGATAGTGGAGGTGAGCAGTAAGAGCTAGGAGTCTCTTAGCAACTTCCTAGCAACAAGGCAGGTCAGAATGTTGCAAGCTTTGGCAGTTTTTCAGCCTAGCTCCCAGAACTAAAACCAATATATCCTCAATAGGAAGTATCTGGAGGTTAAAAAAAATTAACAGTGAGGTACATTTAATTGTTACAAGATGTCCCATAAATATTTTGCATTGATGCTCTGTGATTTCTAATTACATCCCTGTATACAAATCTTCAGTATTTCCTGTCCACAAGCGCGGCTTTCAGGTCAGGCGGTGACACCAGCCTCCTTATTATGTCATTTTGACATATGTGCTCATTTCACATTAATGCATGTGAGATCACGCAGTGGAACAGAACGAATCTCCCCAAAAGTCGTCTCCCAATAAACCCATCTCTGGTTATAGATAGCATAAAAACAGAAACCGCACAGGTCAAGGAAGAACAGTATTTATTAGAAAAGCAAATAATATATTAAAGAAATCTCTGAAAGGTCACCTTGTCGCATTTCACTAGCGCCACAAGTCATCATCTGTCACACTGCTCTCTGGAAGCCTGCGCCAGGCAGGCCGGGGACACACACACACATTCACTTCCCTAGGGGGGATATGCAACATGGAGACCATGTCTACAGTGCCTGAACAGTAACAATTTCCTTTTCCAACCACAGAAGTAAGGGCTGAAATGAAGAAGGGGCAGGATTGAAGGTTGTCACATCTAGAGTCTTCCCATCCTGGTTAGTGCCGCTTGTTTAACCCTTTCCTCATTTCTCTTCTTCACATTTTTGCTTCCGCTTTAACTTTGCTCTGGACAGCGGACAATGTCGTATTTCACGTATCCGACCTTTTCCACTTGCTTGCGCCATGTCATGCGCCAGAAGAACTGGTCTTGGCAGAAGTAGTATTTACCTGCAAGAGGGAAACATGTTAGTTTGCAAGTGATGTAAAGATTACATGAGCAAAAATTATCCTTCAAATAAACATTAAATTCCTTAGAGTTCAGGACAAGTTATTATACTCTAAAGCAGTGGTCTCCAAACTGCGTCCCGGGGGACAGATGCGGCCCTTTGCTTGCTTTTATCTGGTCCTTGGGGCGTTATTTCCTCCACTGTCAGCAACAATAGGGCACTATTCCTCCCACTGATACCAATGACGGGGCACTATTCCTCCCACTGATACCAATGATGGGGCACTATTCCTCCCACTGATACCAATGACGGGGCACTATTCCTCCCACTGATACCAATGACGGGGCACTATTCCTCCCACTGATACCAATGATGGGGCACTATTCCTCCCACTGATACCAATGATGGGGCACTATTCCTCCCACTGATACTAATGATGGGGTACTATTCCTCCCACTGACACCAATGGTGTTGCACGATTCCTACCATTGATACCAATGATGGGGCACTATTCCTCCCACTGACACAATTGATGTTGCACGATTCCTACCATTGATACCAATGATGGGGCACTATTCCTCCCACTGACACCAATGATGTTGCACTATTCCTACCATTGATACCAGTGATGGGGCACTATTCCTCCCACTGACACCAATGATGTTGCACTATTCCTACCATTGATACCAATGATAGGGCACTATTCCTCCCACTGACACCAATTATGTTGCACTATTCCTACCATTGATACCAATGATGGGGCACTATTCCTCCCACTTACATCAATGATGTTGCACGATTCCTACCATTGATACCAATGATAGGGCACTATTCCTCCCACTGACACCAATGATGTTGCACGATTCCTACCATTGATACCAATGATGGGGCACTATTCCTCCCACTGACACCAATGATGTTGCACGATTCCTACCATTGATACCAATGATAGGGCACTATTCCTCCCACTGACACCAATGATGTTGCACTATTCCTACCATTGATACCAATGATAGGGCACTATTCCTCCCACTGACACCAATGATGTTGCACTATTCCTACCATTGATACCAATGATGGGGCACTATTCCTCCCACTGACACCAATGATGTTGCATGATTCCTACCATTGATACCAATAATGGGGCACTATTCCTCCCACTGACACCAATGATGTTGCACGATTCTTACCATCGATACCAATGATGGGGCACTATTCCTTCCACTGACACCAATGATGTTGCACGATTCCTACCATTGATACCAATGATGGGGCACTATTCCTCCCACTGACACCAATGATGTTGCACTATTCCTACCATTGATACCAATGATGGGGCACTATTCCTCCCACTGACACCAATGATGTTGCACTATTCCTACCATTGATACCAATGATGGGGCACTATTCCTCCCACTGACATCAATGATGTTGCACTATTCCTACCATTGATACCAATGATGGGGCACTATTTCTCCCACTGACACCAATGATGTTGCACGATTCTTACCATCGATACCAATGATGGGGCACTATTCCTTCCACTGACACCAATGATGTTGCACGATTCCTACCATTGATACCAATGATGGGGCACTATTCCTCCCACTGACACCAATGATGTTGCACTATTCCTACCATCGATACCAATGATGGGGCACTATTCCTCCCAATGACACCAATGATGTTAAACTATTCCTACCATTGATACCAATGATGGGGCACTATTCCTCCCACTGACATCAATGATGTTGCACTATTCCTACCATTGATACCAATGATGGGGCACAATTCCTCCCACTGACACCAATGATGTTGACAATTCCTACCATTGATACCAATGATGGGGCACTATTCCTCCCACTGACACCAATGATGTTGCACTATTCCTACCATTGATACCAATGATGGAGCACTATTCCTCCCACTGACACCAATGATGTTGCACGATTCTTACCATTGATACCAATGATGGGGCCCTATTCCTCTCATTAGTACCAAAGACGGGGCACTATTACTCCCACTAGTACTAATCACGGGGTATTGTTCACTCCCAAGTCAGGATATTTTCTACTCCCACTGACCACAGTCCAGCCCTCCTAAAGTTTGAAGGACAGGAAACTGGCCCTTTGTTTAGACTATTTGGAGACCCCTGCTCTAAAGCCATACTCCAAGGCAAGCACAGTGGCTTAGTGGTTAGCACCTCTACCTTGCAGGACTGAAGTCTCTGGTTCAAATTCCAACCATGACACTATCTGCATGGAGTATGCATGTTCTCAATGTGTTTGCAAGGGTTTCTGCCCACACATTCCAAAGACATGCTGGTAGGTCATTTGGCCATGGTACTGTACACTCACCAGCCACTTTATTAGGTACACCTGTTCAATTGCTTGGTAACACAAATTGCTAATCAGCCAATCACATGGCAGCAACTCAATGCATTTAGACATCTAGATGTGGTGAAGACGACTTGTTGAAGTTCAAACTGAGCATCATAAAGGGGATTTAAGTGACTTTGAACGTTGCATGGTTGTTGGTGCCAGACAGGCTGGTCTGAGTAGTTTAAAAACTGCTGATCTATTGGGATTTTCACACGCAACCATCTCTAGGGTTTACAGAGAATGGTCCGAAAAGGAGAAAATGTCCAGTGAAAGGTTGTTGTGTGGATGAAAATGCCTTGTTAATGTCAGAGTTCAGAGGACAAACAACAGACTGGTTGCTGCAACATTCAAATGGTAGGTTCAGAATTTGGTGTAAACAATATGAAAGCATGGATCCAACCTGCCATGTATCAATGGTTCAGGCTGGTAATGGTGTGGGGGATATTTTCTTGGCTCTAGCAAGGTGTACCTAAAAAAGTGGCCGCTGAATGTACATGTGTGCTAGGGACCATAGACTGTAAGCAGGGCCACTGCAAGGATTTGTGTCTACACAGGCAAAGGTGCATTTTGACACCCCCCTCCACTGTCCCACCACCACCTCCTCCCCTTCTACCACATCCCCTCACTGTCTACAGCCACACTGGTACCTCCTTCACGTTGCGCCCATAATGTGATGGGCGCTCAGCATGAATGATGTGACACAGCATTGAAAACTGAACTGTGCTAAATTGCCACTAAACAGCAGTGTGTAATGAGGGGGCAGGGTAATGCATTCCCCGCTTCCCCCTCACTGTCTACGCTGCTGAAAAGTTCGGCAAACTAAAACTTCCATGCTGCACCTGGTAGGAGAGAGGGCACAGCATTAGGGAATGGAAGAAATGTATATTAAAACTACGAATCGCCAGCAAGTGACTGGGGATTCGGATTTTATCGCCCCCTCTATTCTGGCTCCCTAAGGCAACTGCCTAAGCACCCTTATGTTGACAGCAGCCCTGACTGTAAGCTCTTGAGGGCAGCGTTTGATGTGAATGTACAGTATGTAAAGCACTGCATGAATTGCCAGTATTATATAAATGTCTGTAAGAAATCACAGCAAAAAAGGGATTTTTAGATTGTAGGCCCCTTGAGGGCAGGCACTGATGTGAATGTACAGTATGTAAAGCACTGTATGAATTGTCAGTACTATATAAAAATACCTGTTAGAAATAACAGCAAAAAAGGGACTTTAGATTGTAAGCCCCTTGAGGACAGGCATTGATGGGAATGTAAAAGTACTATGTAAGATGTCAGTACAGTGGTTAAATGGTTAGCACTTCAGCCTGGCAGTACTAGGGTCGTTGGTTTGAATCCCAACCACGGTACCACCTGCCTGGAGTTTGCATGTTCTCCCTGTTCCTGTGTGGGTTTCCTAAGGTTACTCCGGTTTCCTCCAACACTCCAAAAACATTCTGGTAGGTTAATTGGATCCTGTATAAATTGGCCCTGGTGTGTGTATGTATGAATGTGGGTTAGGGGCCTTAGACTGGTTAGGGACTGATGTGAATGTACAATATATATAATATATAAGTGCTGCGTAAATTGACAATGCTATATAAGTACCTGAAATAAATAAATACTATATAAATACCTGTTCTAATAATAAATGGCAAGAAAATACACACATTGGCTCTGTTTTATTCCAAAGGATTGGTATTTTGGTCCATTCATTCCTGATATTTAGAAAGCCTGGTGACATGACTTTTCTCTACTGCAGTTAAGCAACACAACTAGCTCATTTCCTTGCCTCCCAGCCTGTGATTGGACAAAGGAGCAGCAACAAACTGATAAGGTCATCTTTCTGATCTGTCCTCCTGTCAGCATATTCCTTGCCATCTCATGCAGCAAACCCCCTACTCTTGCCCTTCTTTCTCCCAGTCTGTGTGCTATTGTACAGGTATTTTACAAGAGGCACAAACTAGGTCAAATAAAAAAATTAAAATAGTCGCATTTCCAATTGATTTTGTTTTGTTATTGATGCATTTATTTATGTCTTGGACTTTATGGCAGTTTTTCGTGGACTGCAAAAAAGTGGGGTTACCGTATAGATTTTGCAGGTTCTCTTAATTTTAGGATCATCCTTTAAAGGAAAACTCTACTTTTATTTTAAAAGTGATATATAAACGCTGCAGAAACAATTTTGTCATTTGATACCAATTACATCAGGGGTGCCAAACTGGTGGCCCTCCAGCTGTTGGGAAACTACAAGTCCCATCATGCCTCTGCCTTTGGGAGTCATGCTTGTAACTGTCAATCTTGCAATGCCTCATGGGACTTGTAGTTTGGCAACAGCTGGAGGGCCACCAGTTTGACACCCGTGAATTACATTATCTTTACCATCAGAAAAGTCAAATGTTTTTGCAACTGTAGTAACACCATGGGCTGTACAATGCTTATGTACAGAATGCCCAATGCACTATTCCTACCATTGATACCAATGATGGGGCACAATTCCTCCCACTGACACCAATGATGTTGACAATTCCTACCATTGATACCAATGATGGGGCACTATTCCTCCCACTGACACCAATGATGTTGCACTATTCCTACCATTGATACCAATGATGGAGCACTATTCCTCCCACTGACACCAATGATGTTGCACGATTCTTACCATTGATACCAATGATGGGGCCCTATTCCTCTCATTAGTACCAAAGACGGGGCACTATTACTCCCACTAGTACTAATCACGGGGTATTGTTCACTCCCAAGTCAGGATATTTTCTACTCCCACTGACCACAGTCCAGCCCTCCTAAAGTTTGAAGGACAGGAAACTGGCCCTTTGTTTAGACTATTTGGAGACCCCTGCTCTAAAGCCATACTCCAAGGCAAGCACAGTGGCTTAGTGGTTAGCACCTCTACCTTGCAGGACTGAAGTCTCTGGTTCAAATTCCAACCATGACACTATCTGCATGGAGTATGCATGTTCTCAATGTGTTTGCAAGGGTTTCTGCCCACACATTCCAAAGACATGCTGGTAGGTCATTTGGCCATGGTACTGTACACTCACCAGCCACTTTATTAGGTACACCTGTTCAATTGCTTGGTAACACAAATTGCTAATCAGCCAATCACATGGCAGCAACTCAATGCATTTAGACATCTAGATGTGGTGAAGACGACTTGTTGAAGTTCAAACTGAGCATCATAAAGGGGATTTAAGTGACTTTGAACGTTGCATGGTTGTTGGTGCCAGACAGGCTGGTCTGAGTAGTTTAAAAACTGCTGATCTATTGGGATTTTCACACGCAACCATCTCTAGGGTTTACAGAGAATGGTCCGAAAAGGAGAAAATGTCCAGTGAAAGGTTGTTGTGTGGATGAAAATGCCTTGTTAATGTCAGAGTTCAGAGGACAAACAACAGACTGGTTGCTGCAACATTCAAATGGTAGGTTCAGAATTTGGTGTAAACAATATGAAAGCATGGATCCAACCTGCCATGTATCAATGGTTCAGGCTGGTAATGGTGTGGGGGATATTTTCTTGGCTCTAGCAAGGTGTACCTAAAAAAGTGGCCGCTGAATGTACATGTGTGCTAGGGACCATAGACTGTAAGCAGGGCCACTGCAAGGATTTGTGTCTACACAGGCAAAGGTGCATTTTGACACCCCCCTCCACTGTCCCACCACCACCTCCTCCCCTTCTACCACATCCCCTCACTGTCTACAGCCACACTGGTACCTCCTTCACGTTGCGCCCATAATGTGATGGGCGCTCAGCATGAATGATGTGACACAGCATTGAAAACTGAACTGTGCTAAATTGCCACTAAACAGCAGTGTGTAATGAGGGGGCAGGGTAATGCATTCCCCGCTTCCCCCTCACTGTCTACGCTGCTGAAAAGTTCGGCAAACTAAAACTTCCATGCTGCACCTGGTAGGAGAGAGGGCACAGCATTAGGGAATGGAAGAAATGTATATTAAAACTACGAATCGCCAGCAAGTGACTGGGGATTCGGATTTTATCGCCCCCTCTATTCTGGCTCCCTAAGGCAACTGCCTAAGCACCCTTATGTTGACAGCAGCCCTGACTGTAAGCTCTTGAGGGCAGCGTTTGATGTGAATGTACAGTATGTAAAGCACTGCATGAATTGCCAGTATTATATAAATGTCTGTAAGAAATCACAGCAAAAAAGGGATTTTTAGATTGTAGGCCCCTTGAGGGCAGGCACTGATGTGAATGTACAGTATGTAAAGCACTGTATGAATTGTCAGTACTATATAAATACCTGTTAGAAATAACAGCAAAAAAGGGACTTTAGATTGTAAGCCCCTTGAGGACAGGCATTGATGGGAATGTAAAAGTACTATGTAAGATGTCAGTACAGTGGTTAAATGGTTAGCACTTCAGCCTGGCAGTACTAGGGTCGTTGGTTTGAATCCCAACCACGGTACCACCTGCCTGGAGTTTGCATGTTCTCCCTGTTCCTGTGTGGGTTTCCTAAGGTTACTCCGGTTTCCTCCAACACTCCAAAAAACATTCTGGTAGGTTAATTGGATCCTGTATAAATTGGCCCTGGTGTGTGTATGTATGAATGTGGGTTAGGGGCCTTAGACTGGTTAGGGACTGATGTGAATGTACAATATATATAATATATAAGTGCTGCGTAAATTGACAATGCTATATAAGTACCTGAAATAAATAAATACTATATAAATACCTGTTCTAATAATAAATGGCAAGAAAATACACACATTGGCTCTGTTTTATTCCAAAGGATTGGTATTTTGGTCCATTCATTCCTGATATTTAGAAAGCCTGGTGACATGACTTTTCTCTACTGCAGTTAAGCAACACAACTAGCTCATTTCCTTGCCTCCCAGCCTGTGATTGGACAAAGGAGCAGCAACAAACTGATAAGGTCATCTTTCTGATCTGTCCTCCTGTCAGCATATTCCTTGCCATCTCATGCAGCAAACCCCCTACTCTTGCCCTTCTTTCTCCCAGTCTGTGTGCTATTGTACAGGTATTTTACAAGAGGCACAAACTAGGTCAAATAAAAAAATTAAAATAGTCGCATTTCCAATTGATTTTGTTTTGTTATTGATGCATTTATTTATGTCTTGGACTTTATGGCAGTTTTTCGTGGACTGCAAAAAAGTGGGGTTACCGTATAGATTTTGCAGGTTCTCTTAATTTTAGGATCATCCTTTAAAGGAAAACTCTACTTTTATTTTAAAAGTGATATATAAATGCTGCAGAAACAATTTTGTCATTTGATACCAATTACATCAGGGGTGCCAAACTGGTGGCCCTCCAGCTGTTGGGAAACTACAAGTCCCATCATGCCTCTGCCTTTGGGAGTCATGCTTGTAACTGTCAATCTTGCAATGCCTCATGGGACTTGTAGTTTGGCAACAGCTGGAGGGCCACCAGTTTGACACCCGTGAATTACATTATCTTTACCATCAGAAAAGTCAAATGTTTTTGCAACTGTAGTAACACCATGGGCTGTACAATGCTTATGTACAGAATGCCCCCAGAAATTACATTTTCCGCTCATGTGATTGGCTCAAACCTTTTCCTAGCAGTTTCTTTCCTAATACAGCCGGTCCTATGAGTTTAACAAGCAGAGCTTCCTATCTGAGCACTCCCACCTCTTTCAGAAAGGCAGGGCTATGTAATAACCCCCCCCCCCCCATTTAAAGGTTGCCTCCCAACTGCTCTAAAATCTGCTGCATGCAGCTTGTAATAAATCTCAATGCATATACCTGTTTTTATTCTTTTTCTGAGTGGTCACATGACCTGAAAGCTTTGGTGAGTGTCCCTGTCTAGGCAGGTCCAACAACATTGCTGAATCCTTCAAGGATTTATGTCTGCCCACCCACATGCATAGCACTAAGGCTTTGTTGGCCCTTAAAGAGTTACCGCCCACCAACAGCACAGACAAACGCACCCATTGGAGCTTTGTAGTCACATGACTGCTTGAAAAAAAAAACTTACAAAAAAGGTGTTTACTTTGCAATTATAAGAAGCTCTGTTCATTATTCTAAACAAAAGTATACACCAGGGGCAGACTGACAACTCATGGGGCCCCCGGGCAATAGGGGATCATGGGGCCCCTGTGTCCTTGCCCAAACTCAAAAAAGCCTATGAAAAAGGTACAAGGGCATCTCATGGGGCCCCCTACTGACCCCAGGCCCTCGGGCAGTGCCCGAGTTTCCAAATGGTCAGTCCACCCCTGGTATACACTTTCTGGTCCAGTTGTGGTCTAGCTTAACATCAATATATTCAACATCTCAGAGATGCAGACTGCAGAAGCGCATGTGACAGGCAGAATGGAAGGGGCTCTATGCTTGTGATATGAAAACCACAGTACCACTTCTCCAATGTGACACTGCTAGGTTTCTCCTGGTTGGCCCAGCATTGGTACATGGGGCCAGTGAAGGCGTCCATAGCTCTGTGTAAGCTCTAGAATCAGGGGCGGACTGACCATTTGGAAACTCGGGCACTGCCCGAGGGCTGTGGGTCAGTAGGGGGCCCCATGAGATGCCCCTGGTACCTTTTTCATAGGCTTTTTTGAGTTTGGGCAAGGACACAGGGGCCCCATGATCCCCTATTGCCCGGGGGCACCATGAGTTGTCAGTCCGCCCCTGTCTAGAATGTAGATTTTTTTTAGACTAATGGAAACATAGTAGTGAGCAACCAACTGCATGGCAACTTAATTTTCTAGCTTGTCAAATAGGATTGCTGAATCCTGATTGGTTGGCAGTGTCACCAAATGTCTGCTGCATTATACATTTGTTAGAATGTTCCTATACTGATCTTTACCTTTGTACACAAAGATGTCGTGAGAATCACTGGGAACACCAGCAAAGTCATCATCTGTGTTGCGTGGGTAACCCTTATCCACAGTCTGAGATTTCACATCAAGCCTGTTAAAAGAAAACATTAGTTAAACAGTCTTTTTGGGCTTTGACAACTTACATACAAATAATGCACGTTTGCAATAAATAACAGTGGTGTCACTAAAAATGTTTGCATTTTTTTGGGCTACAACTACAGATCATGATTATTACATGTAATGGCCATTTTCCATATGTGGGTCCACAGAAGTTATCACTGTGTTTACTAGCTTTATGTTGGCCTCTATCAATCCTCAGTATGAACAACCTGTTTTAACCAACTATGTTAAAGGCCTATGATATGGAGGTGAGAGGGGGGAGGTGTTCTGTAGTTCATAAGGAGAGAACTTGGGCACGGCTGACAACTCTGCTTGGGATTTCTGTGCAGGCAGCGTTGCCAACTCACACCGGGACACTAGGGGCTCAATGGATTTCAGATTTGTAGAATAGACACTAAGGCTAGCCACTATACAATTTTCTTACAAATTTCTGTCCAATTTCCTTTAGATTTACTTTCAACTATGTAGTGCAAGAGCTGCCTAATTGGATACAGTTGAAAATGTTGTTTGGGTTTGACCTCCTATTATATGGTTTCTGGTCAATCTAAAGCAAAATTCTCAAGAAAATTGTATAGTGTATGGCCAGACTAATGCAGCAAAAAAAAAAAAATCGGACAATTTTCGGATTGTTAGTGGGTTAATAGGTCGGCCGTTTTTTGGGATTTTGGCACATTTTTTTTTATCGGTAAAGTTGGAAAAAAATCGTCCGATTTTGCCAATCGGCCGATTTTCGCGGCAATGATGGGCAAATCGGCCAATCTTTTTACCGATAAAAAATCTGTGCATGAGCCGTGACCTGCAAGAAGAAGAAAAAGAAGAAATAGAAGAAGAAGCAAAAGAAATAGAAGAAGAAGAAATAGAAGAAGAAACAGAAGAAGAAGAAAAAGAAGAAAAGACGAAGAAAAAGAAATAGAAGAAGAAATAGAAGAAGAAAAAGAATAAGAATTCCAGTCCGCTATTATATTTGACATGAAAAAGTATAGCGGTTGCAACAATGTATCTATTTGTATCTGAATAAAAACATCTGTATCTGAAATACAAATAGATACATTGTTGCAACCGCTATACTTTTTCATGTCAAATATAATAGCGGAGCTCTCTGCAAGGGACAGAAGTAATTAAATGCCGGCTGTAGACATGACGAAAATCGGACAATTTTTTTTTTCAGTTGGTGGTAACATCGGCCTATTGAACGACCGATTTTTTCCTTTTTTTGTTAAAAAAACGGCCGGTTTTCGACCCATCTATGGCCTGCATAAGGCTGGCCATACAATATACAATTTTCTTGGGATTTTTGTTTTACATTTACCAAAAACCATATAATAGGAGGTCAAACCAGTCTAAGGCTGGCCATACATTACACAATTTGCTTAAGAATTTTGCTTTAGATTTACGAAAAACCATATAATATGAGGTCAAATCTAAACAACACTTTCAACCAGGGGCGGACTGACAACTCATGGGGCCCCCGGGCAATAGGGGATCATGGGGCCCCTGTGTCCTTGCCCAAACTCAAAAAAGCCTATGAAAAAGGTACCAGGGGCATCTCATGGGGCCCCCTACTGACCCCGGGGCCCTCGGGCAGTGCCCGGGTTTCCAAATGGTCAGTCCACCCCTGCGCAGGATGGATCTTTGTCATACTTCTCACTCAGATCACCGATAATCCTGGAATATATACCTTGAAGAAGAAATTACTAAACCCCCATACATCATTGTAATTTAGTGATGTACCACCCACTGATTTTTTAATACTATACTTCTAGAGCAAGCTTGAGAAGCCTGAGACTACAAGTGTCCATACGCTTCCCAATTCTTGGCAGGAAAGGTTCAAAGATGGGCTACTACTGACTTTCCTATTCTACTGTAGTGCCCGAGTTTCAAAATGGTCAGTCCACCCCTGCTTTCAACTGTATCCAATTATGCAAGCCCTTGCAATACATAGTTGAAGGTAAATCTAAAGGAAATTGGGCAGAAATTGGACAGAAAATTGTATAGTGTATGGCCAGTCTAAAGGGAGCACTCACTGTCTCCGTTCAAATGTCTGTACCTCTCTGTTGACAACTCTTGGGAGGATACCTAAACCAGACAGGAAGTGCATTGTTTTTAGTGAGTCGTCCAACTTATAGATTTGTATGAGACGAAGCAGAATTAAATTACAGCCAATGTGTAGAACTGCAAATCAGGGAGCAGTGACTGAAAATATTAAAACTCAAAGTAGCCAAACAATTAGCATTTTCAGATGTAGATCAAGAATCACTCCTGGTGTAGGTTTACTTTAAGTCCCAATTTTTCTTGCGGCCTTACCTCCAGTATCTATCACCATTGAATAACAGGACTTTCCCATTATCCCGGGTAATAGCGCCCAAGATTCTATCCACATCTTTGCCAAAGCCCAGCTTATCGAGACTCCGTGGACCCAAAACACTGCTTCCTGTGTACTGCCAGAATTTGCGTCCTGCAAAAAAAGTCACACTTACTTGTACCACCACACAATACTAGGTTTCAGATATCAGTAACATCTTCAATAAGAAAGTGGAGCCATAAATTAAAGCGGAATTACACATACATGAAAGCAGATTTTTAGCAGTATCTGAATGATAAAACATGACCATTTGTTGGGTTGGTACAGGTCACTTTTCTATACTAACTTTCTACCTTACTAAAAATCCTAATAATAGTTTTTTCAATATCATGTATTTGGCAATCAAACAATATGAAAACATATTTTTAAATTATCTTGTAAACTTCCCATGTCTACCTACTGATAGAGCAGTCATGATTGTGCACATGAAGGGCCTGTTTTAGTGAGAGTATTGTTTTTTGCCAAAAAATTCTGAACTGGGCAGAGTTTCTGGTAATGGAGGGTAGGAACCTAATTTTGACACTGGTGGCTTTAGAAATGTTGGATTATATGTAGCAAGTAAATGAATAAACCTTCCAGTAATGCTATTACTAGGCTGCAGCTAGGGTGAGCTCTGATGATTTGTAGTGTGACTTCAGAAGACTAACAACCAGCAAGCTCAAATTAAACTTGGAATGAGCAAGTGAGCAACATGTGTTTTCTGTTCTCCTCATATTACATATACCGCAGGATCAGGGGCGGACTGACAACTCATGGGGCCCCCCGGGCAATAGGGTATCATGGGGCCACAGTGTCCTTGCCCAAACTCAAAAAAGCCTATGAAAAATGTACCAGGGGCATCTCATGGGGCCCCCTACTGACCCTGGGCCCTCGGTCAGTGCCCGGGTTTCCAAATGGTTAGTCCGCCCCTGTGCAGGATGGATCTTTGTCATACTTCTCACCAGGGGCAGACTGACAACTCATGGGGCCCCTGGGCAATAGGGGATCATGGGGCCCCTGTGTCCTTGCCCAAACTCAAAAATGCCTATGAAAAAAGGTACCAGGGGCATCTCATGGGGCCCCCTACTGACCCCGGGCCCTCGGCAGTGCCCGAGTTTCCAAATGGTCAGTCCGCCCCTGCTTCTCACTCAGATCACCAAGAATCCTGGAATATATACCTTGAAGAAGAAATTACTAAATCCCCATACATCACTGTAATTTAGTGATATACCACCCACTGATTTTTTAATACTATACTTCTAGAGCAAGCTTGAGAAGCCTGAGACTACAAGTGTCCATACGCTTCCCAATTCTTGGCAGGAAAGGTTCAAAGGTGTTTGGGCTACTACTGACTTTCCTGTTCTACTGTATAATTATTGATTGGATTGTTGGCTCTTGCATGAGGCTTTATGATATCATTTGTTTTGTCATCTACATCACGTGTGGTTGACCACATATCATGCCAAATTTGACCATCACTGAAAATGGCTAAATATGTTGCAGAGCCCTCCCTACAAAGAAATTTTGGGCAGCTTTCTCTGTCCATAAGTGGCCATCTAATGACATACTTATAGAAGATTGGTCTGATATCAACATTTTGCATTGCTAATTAACCAGTACTGGACTGTCAAGTGTCAAGTCTTGCCACTGTTTTATACATAATTATTACCTGAGAAAAAGAAAATCTTCTTGCTTTGGGGGTCCTGGAATGCTGCATCAATATTGGCAGGAAGTTCAGGCCAAGTGTCTGAGATTTTCTTTGAAGACTTAGGGGGCCCACTGGCTGGTAGTTTCCAGTACAATCTAAAAAAACGATATAGTGAGTGATAGGGAATCCAAAAAACATCATCTATAAAGTGTCAAGCCAGCCATAGATGGGGCACCTTTCTTTCCTGCAACCACGGGTTGCTGTAAAGAAAATGACTTGATTCTCCCATCAACACAGTCAGTGTTGATGTGGGAATCCCACCCGTGGAGCCATTGTTGTGTTCTCCCAGCGGGGGGGGGATGAGTGTGCTTCCCCAATGGGAGAACACAATGATTACTGCAAGAGGCTCTAATAGCCACTGGCAATAATCGCACATAAAATCCAACAGTCTGGTTGTATCCAAGTTGATTGATCGATCAACTTGGGTACATTCAGCCTGCCCATACATGATTCAAATCTCGGCCAGTTCCTGCTGAGCATCTATGACTGGCTTAAGGCCCTCTCGGGATTTTTGTACAGTACACCTTATTTTCAGCTCCTCTTACCCATCCTTAAAGAGGTGGAGCTCCCCTTGTAATTCTGCAATGGCATCAAATTCCTTCACTTTACAGGGGTCTTGTGTTGGGTCTACTGGGGAATCGGAGGGCTCCACACTTTCAGTGGTAGTTGGTGTAGCAGTGTGTGGTGGGTGAAGGAGTTGTTGTTTTGGGTTTCTTGGTGGGCTTTGGTGGAGAAGGATCTGGACCAGTTCCAGCACCTAAAAATGTATAAAACAGTTAATCATAATGTTCCACCTCTCTTAGTCTGCTACTGTCTGCAATATGTTTTGTAATTAATCACAATGACTTGCTCTGCTGTGCTGCAATATATCATAGATGTATAGGAGGTGACAACGGGCAGCAGTTTACCTTTTTTCTGCCGAGTTTTCTACTGAATGCATTCCTTAAACAACCTTACAAGAAATAATTGGAGGCTTATTTAAAAAGGTATAAAACAATGTGCAAAGTAAATAAACCAACACGCAATCATCTTCCACTCACTGCTCTGAACTACCGAATGGTGACATCTGGACAGTTGCTTTGAGTTAATGTGAACCTGTAGCCAGATAATATACATTAAGCTTGAGCTTTAAAACAAGCCCTCACCAGCCTCTGTAGCTTTAGGCACTATGGAGCAATTCATTCTCCAGTTTCACAGAAGAAGTGCTGAAGTCCTTTATATCATTTTCTCATCAACTCATCTTTTCCTCCTCTCGAACTCCAGCGCAGTGAGAGAGAAGGAAAACAGGGATAGCTGAGATGCTATGACAACAGCTTGAAAGACGTTATCACTTCTGCTGTGAACTTTGAGGATGAATTAGTTCACAGTTCCTGCAGCTAAAGAGGTCAGTGACTGCTTTTTTAATTTAAGTTTAAGTTAATTTACTTCTTGTTAGGAATATATAAAACACTTGTATGTCCATAGCCTGCCCCCATGTTGATTTGAAGGTACACCTAAATAGGAATTAGTCCCTGAAAACAGCCACAATAGCATATCTTTGGGCAGCAGCAAATATATTCATACACCCGGTGAAGATGGAAATAATCATTTTGGTAAGCATATTTTTGAATGTGGTGACAGATAGAGAAAAAAGTGGTTTTTCCTTGCTTTGCTACACATCTGACCATTCTCTACTATCTACAGGCAGTAGGGCTGCCATCTCCTCCCTTTAACACCGAACACATATTAATGACACAGGTTCTTTGGCTGATTAAGGTGGTAATTAAAATCATTTAGTGCCTTATCTGCATTAAATTAGCCTTAGAACCCGAGTAATTAATATGTGTTCGGGTTTAAAGGGATGAGGTGACAACTCTAACGGGCAGTCTAACTGCACATTGCAGTTGATCATAATAATCTGCCTTGCACCAAATATCATTCTGCATAAACTGAATATAAAATATTATGTTTTGTGATTTCATTCTAAATGGACTCTATTAGCCATATTTCATGCCAAAGAACTATAAAAAAAAAAAATAGCTTTCCCTTGGTTGTACCTTTATGACAAATCCTATTCTGCAGGTGACCATTCAAAACCAATCTGTAGTTTGAGATTGCAGGAAAGATCTCAAAAGCTCAGTGAGCCTGCTTTGTGCTCACACTGTCATTGACATTCATATGTGCTTAGATGATGACTTCATGCACACATATATAAAAAGATGAATATAAAAGAAACTACACAACAATAAAAAAAAAACATCAATGTGACGTATTGTCAAGGTTAGAAAAATGACAAAATTCAATAACATGCATCCTATTTTTATAAATTCTACAGATGAAGGCCAAATAAACCACCAATTTATTCTCACGGGTGGACTGAGTGTTTGTTAGGGGGGAAGGGGTTATTCTGTCATAATCATCAGCAGTGAGCTTGCCTCCCTTGCAGGGGCGGACTGACCATTTGGAAACTCGGCACTGCCTGAGGGCCCGGGGTCAGTAGGGGACCCCATGAGATGCCCCTGGTACCTTTTTCATAGGCTTTTTTGAGTTTGGGCAAGGACACAGGGGCCCCATGATCCCCTATTGCCCGGGGGCCCCATGAGTTGTCAGTCCGTCCGTGCTCCCTTGATTAGCGACTTCTCTTATCCAGATATCCTCATGTTACTTTACTCAGCATCAGTATTCCTTGTTTTTAAATGGTTTACCGAGGCTTTGCTGAGCCTGAAAAGGCCAGGTAGCTCCAAACTATGATAGCTGAATCATTTCCTACCTTAAAGCTGAACTCTGGGCAAAAAAACTTCATTTAAATATATTCCTCAATAGCTACCGAGTCAAAAAATCCACTTTGTGGATTATAAAAGCCTGTAGACAGCAGAGCCATGGGAGGTATCCAGCAGGCCCTCCTACTACAAGCTGCTGGCAGAAAAATACAAGAAGGGGGCGGATACAAGACCAGTCACCATGCACAAAGAGAAAGAACAGCAGTGACCGGTCTTTATTACAGGAAGCTCCTACACAGAGGCAAAGTCCCACTGTATTTCTGCACAGATCTGGAGGGAATACACAAAGCACTCTAAGAATAAAAATGCCTCTTGTATTTAGTCAAAATTTGCTTACCCTGGAGTTCAGCTTTTAGGTCATTGCAAAAGACAAGGGGACACTTTGGATAAAAGGAAGTTTCACCTTCACATACAGAAAGGCTTCTTTACAGTAAGAGCCATGAAAATGTGAAACAGATTTTCTCAGGAGACAGTTCTAGTCATCTCCATTAATTGCTTCAAGAAAATGTTTCTAAACACCCAAAATACAGCTGGCTATTAATATTTATAAGAATTAACACCGTAGATTGTTCATTCAGGTAGAATCCAAATGCACTCGGGGTTCAGGAAGAGCCTCAGCATATTAGACCAAGCTTTATAAGATTTTTCAGCTTTCCTCTAGATCAACATTGAGTTTAATGTTTTGAGGATTTTTAGCATATTCATTTTTGTCTTTTGATTGAACCTGATGGCCTTTTGGCTTTTTTTTGAACCTTCGACTATGTGAACTATTGTGAAAACTGATGACGGGAGGAAGTTCTGCTGGTACAACCCCTGCGGATCAGAAGTGGGAGGATGCCAATGACATTTCCACTTCCTAAATGAAAAAAATCACTTATACTGAAAAAAATACTTGAATGCTGACTGTTACCATTTCTGTCATGTTTCACATGACTGTCATATGCCTTTAAGTGTTCTTGTATTTTGTCTCTGCTCCTCCCTTTCCTTTGGTTTAGTTCATGCTGTATAGATAGCCCACCCCTTTTCCCAGTAAGGCATTTCAGCTTCAAGCCTCATGTCATGAAGTAGATCACATTCTGATCTTCTGACCCATCCGAAGTTCATTGTAAGATTCTCTCAGTTTATAGAATAAACTTCACAAGATCTACAAGGTGTCATCAGATCGAGTCACTGCCTGTGTTATTCAACTAAGATTGGAGTTATCGCTATCTCATCACAACGGTAAGTTACAGAGATCACACTTTCAACGCTTAGATTGGAGAGACAAAGCAATTTCCTTTGGCAAAAAACTCCAAAGTAATGAAGATAGATGATACCACTTGGTCCGGACATCTTTATCATAGCGGGCAAAGAAATAATAATTCTCTGATTGCATCCGCATTGCTATTTCTTATAAGTTAAGGACAGCACTGCAAGGAAGGGGAAAGGGACATGTCTGCTGGGTATATAAAAGTATGCCCAGGCACTACTAGTGTACATGTTTCTGCACATGCTGTATAAAATTGCTTGGCATCTGGAGTTTGCATGCATGATCACACCACTATTCTTCAGGCCGTTTGAGCGTAATAGTGAAAGCTCTGTCTGTGCTAGTGACTCGATGGCTTTGAGTCAGGGTGAAAGTCCTTTGCCATTTGGTATAGGTGATAAGTCAGCTTTAAATAGTAGTTTTCTGTTGTGCACAAGCTGTCAGGTGTTGTTTTCTAATTACAGTCCTAAGTCTTTCACCCCTCTCATCACTTAACAATGTCCTTGGCTTTCCGGTTTCTTTCAATGTCAGCCCGCACTCACAGGTTACCAGGCAACAGCACGGCTATCATCAAAAATCTTTTAGAAGTGAGAGAAAATTAGATTTTAATCACTGCCAGTGACCTTTTATGCCCTAATAATCTAAATCAGGATAAACAAAGAAAATAAATGGCATTTCTGGGTTCTTCAGGGCAAATTATATTCCTCACCATACAAATACTGGATCCCTTCAATGTCATCAGAGTGAAGATGGAAGTCGCTCTCATACTTGTAGTTGGGATACATTAGAGCATCTGGGATACTGCTGTGATCCAGGCCTAATGCGTGGCCAAATTCATGTGCTGCCACCAGGAAAAGGCTGTAACCTGTGTGAAATGAATCATTATAAGAAAATGACAATTAAATCCGGGTGTCAGATCACAAGATCGCTCATATCATTCCGATTTATTCTATATGGCAGTGCAGAGCATAGGAGATGTGCAAATAGTAATCCATAGCAGGTGATCAGTTTATAATAAACCGTAGCAAGATTTTAGACTGTAACAAGTGAACTACCTTTGCAGTCCCCCCCCCCCCCCCCCCCTACATACTGCAGGGGTTAAATACTAATTATTGCCCTGAGGTATAGGAATATGGTGCAGTACTTGTTATTCCTCATTCTACCAAGGTCCCTCGAACAGTGCAACCAGTCCCAGGAAGACTCTTCTCTATGGTGCTCCCAGTCTTAGTCACACTCCTATGGACCACCCACAGCCTAGAGTGTCGGAGGGAGAGGAGGACAGCACCAGAGCTGTCTGGAGCCAGTGTAAGGTAAGTAATGCAGAATCACATCACCACCCAGATGTAATGAGCATTTTACCCATTTTTTTTTTTACTTTCTGTGCTTTACTATAGGCTTCAAGTTTCAGAAAAACTACATACTGCAAAACAGTTTAAAATACCAATATATAACAGAACACAAGCTCATCCGTATACGTTATATGTTATATATGTTCCCACCAGGGGCGGACTGACCATTTGGAAACTCGGGCACTGCACGAGGGCCGGGGTCAGTAGGGGGCCCCATGAGATGCCCCTGGTACCTTTTTCATAGGCTTTTTTGAGTTTGGGCAAGGACACAGGGGCCCCATGATCCCCTATTGCCCGGGGGCCCCATGAGTTGTCAGTCCACCCCTGGTTCCCACCCTAGAACGCACAAAGCTTAAACCATATATAGTATAAAGCCAGCCTTAGATGGAGCTATTTTCTTTCCTGCAACGTTAGGTTGCAGAAAAGAAAATTGCTTGAATCCCCCATCAACACAGTCAGTGTTGATGGGGGAATCTCTCTTGCTGAGCCATTGTGTTCTCCTGGCTGGTGGAACTGTCCCCTCTGGGAGAACACAGTGATTACTGCTAGCAGCTATAATAGCCATAATCGCATGTAAAATCCAACAGGCTGGTTGTACCCAAGCTGATTGATCGATCCACTTGGGTACATTCAGCCTGCCCATACATGGTTCGAATCTTGGCTAATTCCTGCTGAACAGGCTAAGATTCGAACCATCTATGGCTGGCTTAAGGCCCCCCTTGTGATTTCTGTAGAATCCACCATATTTTTGGCTCCTCTTACCCATCCTTAAAGAGGTGGGCTCCCCTTGTAATTGTGAACCGACTGAGATCAAGGCCATTTTTTTTCTTTTTTCATTCATCAGATAGAGTAGGGAAGAGTTAACCCACTGTCAGTTTTTTTTCTATCTGTGTCTTATTGGGAAAATTTACTTTCACTTCCTGTCTTGTAGACACAACAGAAAGTGAGAGGATATCTTTCCAATGTGAGTTAAATCCCCTTCTGAACAGTTGTGAAAGAAACATGTGTTTCTTTTGGAAGATTTGTTCCCTATTCTTTGTTCTGAAACTTTGGATTTACAGTTACATTCATTCACATTGGTGATCAAGATAATTTGAGAAAGAAAATCTCCTTAATGGGAGCACCGAAATCAATAAAAATATGAAAGTAGTCCTAACCCCTCACCACTCCACCACTAAATCTATAATAAAACATTTTACCTTTAGATATATTTTAATTTTTAAAAATGGGTGGGGCTTTCCCAAATATGGGTGTGGCTTGGCAAATGTTGGTCAGATTCAAAAGTAGATTTAGGCCTATTTAGGTTTGCTGGATTGTAGTAGTTAATATTTAATCTTTTAAAGTCTACCTAATTGTATCAGAATAGTAATAAGATAATGAATTCCCTCTGATGCTTTTAACAAATGTTGCTCTCTATAATAAAGCTATATAATAGACCCAGCAATGGGCAGGCACAATAAGGGACAGGCCAGAGGGATCAAAAGATTACCCTGCTTAAGTGCTTACTCCATGAGCCTTCCAAAAGCCACAACAGACAATGATACAAGTAATTCGGCTTTCTGCAAATTAAAGCTGGCCCATTCATTTAAAATTGTGTTCTTCAAAAGAACTCTCTGTATTGTCTCTTAATAGCATCCGATCAAATCTGCACTAGAAATTTTAACTAATAAGTGTGACTCAGATTAGTTGACACAGGCCAACACAATCAACTTAGAAATTGAAATTAATAAATTAATTAATTAATAAATAAATAAATTAATTAATTGGAGCTCCACCCAAAAGGGCAAGTTCCGCTTTAAGCCTTTGTCCCCCACGCCCCATTAGGGATTGGCACCTTTGGGGAGCGGGTACTCAAATTTGACAGGTACCCACTTCCGCTGCGATCGCCTAGGAAGCGGAAGTTGTCCCCCCCCCCCCTCCCTGTAGTCTTCTTGGACACATGACAGGTCCAGAAGACTACGGGACCATTCACAAAGCACACCGCTACTCACGCATGCACAGCGGGCACCTGGCTGTGAAGCCACAAGCTGTCACAACCGGGAGGCCACACTAAAGATGCCGGTGCCAGGGAGAGATGATGGCCAGTGAAACCAGCGGTGGTGAGGACACTGCTGGACCGAGGGACAGGTAAGTGGCTGTATTTAAAAAGTCAGCAGCTACAGTTTTTGTAGCTGCTGACTTTTGTTTTTTTTTTCAGGTGGAACTCTGCTTTAAAGAGACCTTATCAACAGACCATTCATTAAAAAAAAATTCTTAATGTAAAATTATATGTGCATTTAACATATTTCATACATGTTTTTTTACCTGTAAAATCCTTCCTTATGTAGACATTCAAAAGCCCTAAAATTACTGTAGGGCACTGCCATCTTGGAAGTGATGTCAGCAGTCCCAGCAGACTCAGAGCTTTCACTCAGCTGACAGTCTATAATATTCCCCTTCACTCCTCCCCCGACAAATACATAAATAGTTATGGAGGAAGGTAAGGAGAGGGGCAAAGGAGCTGGGTTATCACATCGGAGTCCACCCATTGTGAAAGGGAGATAGTTAATGCAAGTCCTGAAGAAGATGTGGGATGCCATAGTTGACCTCCTTTTCTTAAAATGCCAGTTAAGTGCCAGTTAAGTGGCCCTCTGGTCAGAAATTCTTGTCTTAAAGAAAGTCAAAGTATTGAAGTCAGAGGTTCAACATTACAGCTAGGAAACTAGTATTGTTAGAAGAAAAGATATCTCTTTTGTGATGAGTTATGGGAAAACGTAAGTACAGTATATCTGTAGTTCTTATCACAGACTACATATTTGTCCAGTGTACCTTGGTCTGAGCAGAAGCCCCATTTCTTATCCTGGTCATAGTTGGAGGTTGTAGCACACCACTTCTTCCCATCCCCTCGGCCTTCGGTGGTACACTGGCTGTAGGTTTTCCCCAGGAATGTAAAGGGAAATACGCAAGGGTCTCCTGCTGAGTTTCCGCCAACAACCGCTGTGTCTATAAAAGGAAAGTAGTGTTCAGTACTGACTGTATAAATTCAGTATGACAAGCTCGGTATAGGCACTATAAATTTTATTCACACATATTTCGTATAAAGTGAGCTATACAGTAACAGCACAGGCCTTTACCTCTGTTGGGACAGAAACCGTATTTAAAATCTTTGTCATAATTGGCTGTGGTACTACACCAGCGGTATCCATCTGAACGCCCTTCAGTAGTACATGTAGAATAAGAGTCTCCTTGAAATGTAAATGGGAAGACACAGGGCTGACCATCACTGTTTCCATCAAATGTGTATAGCACTGCGGTGACAGTAGAAATCATACGTAAGGGTATGCATTCATATCGCACAGCCAGTAATCAATATATCATCAAAATCAAATTTTTGCATACAATTTTAATAACTTAAACATGTGCAACTTTGATGGACTTCTAACTTTGAAGTGAGCCCGTGCTTGTCTGAGCAGAGCACAGCAACATCATCCCCAGCAGGAGCAAGGAAAAGAAAGCCATGTGAAAGCTCCAGTGGGATTTTTGGAGCATACACAGGGTTGACTGTCTCCCGGCCCCCATTTGACAGCACTGAAACAATCAGAAAACTCTAGGGGATGTCACATGGGGTTAGTCACATCTTCTTCCATAGCCAGAAGTAATGGATATTTCCAACATTTTTGGCAGTTAAACTGATTACAGGAAAGCTGCTGCTGGGGGATCAAACTTCAAAGGAGAAATATCAGGGTTTTTTTCATAGTGTTCAGTTCCCAATGGGAAGACAAGCCTCACCTCCCTCTGCATTCCCCTTTCCAGTGCTTGCCCTAGGCGAGTGCTACGAGCCTGAGATAGATGCTCTCTAGCAAACAGCCATCTCCTTGCTAGCTGCAGCGTCGTGGCTGTTTGCCAAAGAAGGAGTGCCCTGTCTGCATGTTGTGTTCGGACAAAATACTGCATGTACTTTTTCCCAATGGTAACTGAATACTATGAACAAGTGATAATTCTTCTTTAGAAAAAACCAGCTGCTTTTGCTCTAATAAGGAAAAGCACAGGTTAGCTTTAAAGTGTATGTATATCAAAAACTTCTTTTTTCCATTTTGGATAGACTAGGGAGGAATTAAAATCATCACTTTTCTTTTTTTTTTGTCTCGGGAAGATTTCCCTTTACTTCCTTTTCTGAAGAAGCAAGCAGGAAGTAAGAGGAAATCTCTACAAAGTGAGGTGACAAGATTGTCACCAGAAAAGTTTGCCCCATTGTAAGATTTTCCTTTATGTCTTGTTCTAGCAACTGTTATCCCTGGCTCACACTGATATGGTGCGAAATTCTCAGCGTTTTCAGTGCAAATTCTGCACCACATTAGAATCACACCCCGTTCATGTGAATCGCTGCGGGTGTGTACGTTAAGTTAACAACACCCCGAAAATGGTCCGCAAAACACAGAGCTATGTACTGAATTGAATCGCATAGGTGTGAATTCCCATGCAATCCGAAAAGGGTCCTGCATGTTTTTGGTGCAGTGCGATTAGAGCCATACATAATGTATGGCTCCAATCACACCGCACACAAAGCATATGTGAATGCGGTGCGGTTCCTGTGCAAATCACATGCGATATACCGCACCGCACATATGTGAACCCAGGCTAAATGTTCTGTCTTGGCAAAATTTTTCACCAGGACAAATAGAGAAGAAAACACAGACCACAATAGTAACTTTTTAACCTCTCACTCCTCTAATAAACCTAAAGAGAATCATTTTGGCAACACATTTTAAGAGTGAGTTTGGAGCTCTAATCCTGTCCCTACACATTCCTCAGAGACACAACTATGCCCTTCACTTAAGTAGGAGCCGGCCGGAGGAGGCAATAAGCTCCCGAATGTGTCCATTTCTGAAGAGACATTAATTGGAAATTTCTCCTCATCACAGTGGCATTCGGTGGAATAGGAGTGGGAGAGGTAAGTATTTACTATCTTCTCTGCGGGGAACGGGTTTATTGGTTACTTGATTTTAGTGTCAAGGCCAGTTTAGGTACGGTGATTTAACTGTGATTACGTGATACTTACATTCACTTGGGCAGAAGCCGTATTTTTTGTCTTTGTCAAAGTTGGCTGTTGTACTGCACCAGAGGTGGCCATCTGATCGCCCAGTACTTGTACAAGAGGAATAGGACTTTCCCTCAAAGGTGAAGGGAAAATGACACAGTGCGCCATCTGCATTACCAAACCGAGTCTTCACCACTGACAAAAGGGAGAATGAGAAACCATATAAAATATTTGGAGTCTTTGGCTGATTTTGTCACATCTTGACTAAGGCATATTACTGAGACCTCATTAACCTCTAACCCAGTAAACCAAAATAAAACCCTTGATCCCCCCATCTTAAATAACCAGATGAAAAATCTCTATATTGGATTGAAAACGCTATAGCAGCCCTTTAATTTTAACACAACAAACAAAAGTTAAATACAACTTTGGAAATAATGCAATGAATGCATAAAATACATTCAATGTATTAACAGAACAGAAAATGATCCTAACCAGCCCCAAGGTCCTTGAAGGCACTGATAATCCCAACAAAAATTGCGGGTGTATCTTCTACCCAGTGAGAAGCCTCTACTACACCACCTCAGGGACAATGAACCACCTACATACTCCCAGACACAAAAAAATACAGTGGCCAATGGGGACACTGAAAACTCCCAGGAGTTTATGAACAAATTTGGGAATTATGATCGGGAGATCTGGATTATCTAAGACAGAAAAGAAACCATTGCTTGACTCAGCCAACAATGTTCAACCTATGAATAAAATATACATTTTTATGTTTGCGTAACCCATGAATGCACATTAATAATCATTACTGTTTTTTCTAACTGAATAAGTCCATTCGTATTTCCTATTTTGTAACACCAACATATGTGGCTTAACATGCGTGGTTTCAGTACTCAGCACTTACCCACTCCAGTCCCAAGGGTCCAGAATTCATCATCATCAAAATGGGCATCTCCATACACTCCAGCACCTGGGGGGTATGCATGAGCTAGAAGTCCATCCTTCCCATCAAAAGGGTATGGATCACCATGATCTGAAGAAAAGATGTCATGTGTAAATAGGTGTTCTTTGTAAGCAATGTAAATGACTGATCCAGAATCCTTCACTAATATAAATATTGGCAGCAAAATTGTGCTTTGCCTTTCTTTTACTTCCCCACTACCCCATTCAGTCTCAGAGGGAGCAAGGAATGAATGCCCCATGTAAGCTCCGAGTTACTCCAGTTAGTGCTTACACTGTGCTGAAGAACCCTTTGCCACCCCCATGTGTCAAAGCTGGGGAAAATATCAATGAACAAAGCTGCCACATGAGAAAAAGGGGAGTGAATCACATGCTCCTCCATATTGGGTACTGGGTACATCTTGGGTTTCTTCATACTTTTCTTTACTCCCAACAGCTGAAAGGAGCTGTGGAGGAGGGAAGGAAAGGTGAGACTGTGTTGCTGGGAAGGAAGGCAAAAAGTGGACTCTGCACCTAAATAGTAAGGTCTGCTCTTGTTATATGACCCTCTTCCCATTGTTAAAATGTTAAACTAAAAATCTAAATCCTTTGTGGTCAAAAAAGTTAGATAATATACTGTATATACATTTCCCTGGGCTTCCACCCATGATGCTTAGGCTGGGGTGACTGTATCTCCTTCCAGCAAGATCCTAGGAAAGTTGAAGTAGCCCAAATCTCAATGAGAAGATGATACTGCACTATGAGTTTTGAGTGGTCAGCATTCTCTGAAATCTCACTGGTAGGATGATCACATCACCTAATGCAATATGGAAACCTGGGAAAAGGTGAGTATATTCACTAACTTCCCCTATAGGTGTTATTTGATGTTTTTGTGGGGTTTTTTTTAAGTGTAATGCAGCATTTCAGAAAGGGGAAACATTAAAAAGCAAACCTGTTTTTTTGACCTACATGGGCAAAACACAGCTTTGCTCTCAGGAAATTTGCATCTTCGTTATTTTATGCTAATCCACTTATCCATGGGTTGATGTGAACTAGAATACTCCCACAACTGGGAGTACCTGCTGTTAACAGATATGAGCTGCCTGAGGGTGTATAGCTTTGATAATGCGTAGACCACAATAAACCTGTGGCAATTAATCGGATTTCAAATAAGTGAAATCAGATCAGTGAAGATGGATTCTGATGGACTGCTATGAGTCATTGCATTTTGCACATTAGCTTTGTATTGCAACAATCATTTCCCAATGCAGGTTGGAGAATGAACAGTAAGGCAATGGGTTCTGTATAGGCAGAACAATATCCTTTTAGATACTTTGCAGACACGCTTACACACGAGACCCAGTATTTCTATTACAGTGCCTGCAGGGTTTGCATTTGGTTGGCTGTTCTTGCACAACAAATCTCTGAAAAAAAAACATTCACCCGTGCAAGAATCAATTAACTCACATCTAGCCTCAGTAATTAAGTTGTTAAACAACATATTAATGTGTGAGGCTGCAACACTTTTTGGTATAAACTTAGACATGCAGCCATACAGAAGAATTGAATAGAACCCATAGACAATCCAACAAAAAGCAATATTAGTATTACATTTAGGACTAATATTTGAAATCTCAATTTATTTTGCATTGTGCAGGGTTAAGATAACAAAATCCTTCGATTTATAGTTTAAAAAAACAACAACACATTATTCTCCAATAATGAAAGCTGCAAAGCAGATTGAACAGGATTACGAAACCTCATGCTAAAGTTCTTTTCTTTCTTTTACATTGTTTTATATGTTTTTAACTGTTTTAGAAATACAGCATGTTCTGTTTAAAGTCTATATTATCATTGACCCACAAAGGTTTGCTGATCGTTCCCTTCCAACCCCTCCCCCCCATCCATTCCTACAGGGCACCTATGTAAACCTTTCAGCTCATGCTTTTCTCAATGTATGCCTTGAACTAGTTTCCCCTCACCCAGTACAATTAATATTTGTTGGTCATTGAATCTATGTTTCGAATGTTTGTTTATGTTTGCTTAATCTTCAATAAAGCTCTTTGTAAAAGAAATACAGCATGTTACAGTTTTGACCAGGGCTGCTGTTAGAAACCACGGGGCCCCATACAGCCAACCTGACAGCGCAACCCCCCCCCCAAAAAAAAAACAGTTTACTACGCTTCAGTTATGAATTAACACAGCGAGCCATCAGTACTGATCACTCGTTGTGTTAATTCAGGAAGAAAGGGGCTGGTAAATGTGACATATTAATGGACCCTTTCCCCACTCTCCATCCTGAAGGATTCTGTTGTGTGCTGGAAGCTGCTGCTGGGAAGGAGAGGAGGGAAGCCAGCAGCACTGTGAGGATAGGGGCACATAGGGGGGCCTGGGCAGCTGGGGAAATGTATGGTGCACATGGAGGGTGTCGGGTGCAGCAGGGAGGAGCAAAAACTAGAATTAATCCCCTATATGGCTCTCTCTGCAGCAGCTGAAAGCCAATGGGAGGGAGAAGAGAAGAAGCCAGCATTCAGCTGCTGCAGAGGGAGATATACAGGGGATCGGTTCCAGTAATTGCTCCCCCACTGTGCCAATCACCCTCCCTTCCCACATCAGATTTACCCAGCTGCCTGGGCCCCCTGTTGCCTGGGCCCTGTACAGGAGGACTGGTGGTACCCCCTTATCTACAGCCCTGGTTTTGACCATATTCATTTTAACTCTGTTTTTTTTAAACTGTAGTAAGTAAGAAAATAATTAAAAATGCAGAATCTGTTATAATTAAACCGTTTTCAGTGCTGCTCTTTGGTAAATCTTAAAAGAGATTGTAGACTTTTGAAGATACATGAATCAATTGGTTCATGTATGGACTGCAGTTTCCCCTTCCTTAGGGCAGGAAGGACAGTCAGACACAACAGTGAAGTGGCCACACCACATTTGGTGCCAACCAGGACACAGTAGAGAGAAGAGAGCAATGCTAGCAGGTACAATTACCCGATAATCTATATTGAAGAATCTAGCTCTACAATGGCAGTCAGGCTTCCACAAGGGAGCTGTAATGTGAATATAGGACCTTTCATTCATGTGCTCAAGCCTGCAGAAGAGTATTGTATCTAAAGCCCAGATTGGAAGACCTGACACTTGCATATATCATGCTGAAAGTTGTATGGACATAGCTAGTTCCTGTAGGCTCACAAGCCTTTTATGTTCAGTCTACCGCCATGCAATCTAATCATCATCAAAATAGTCTGGTTCTCTTTCAGTCATCATTCTTGCTCAACATCCCTGTACACATATTCCAAGCATTACCCATGCACCATGGCACGTTCTCATATTCACTCACTGTCAGACCCGAACAAAATGTTTATGTCGGGTTCCCCGTCATAAATTCGTGAAAAGGTGAGCGGTGTCACATCACTCCACACTTTGAAAGCACGAGCAAAGGCATCATCTGTCACCCCAGGGTCAAGATCAGGGGAATAGTTCAGGATCCTGGAAGCAAAACATAGCATTAAAAGCAAAGCAGTGACCAAAAGCCAAAAAGTAGATATGTGTATGACACAATTATTAGTACACTACATAACATATTTCACCAGATATTGTATGTTTTTTTTAACTCTACCTTCAATGTAATTGCATTCGGTGATAAAACATAATGTGGTAATAACAAGTACTATAGATCAAGTTACTGCAATTCTGAAATTACATGATCTTTCAGCATCTGACACTTCCAGGTGTGCTGGAAGCTTGTATCCCTGCTGCATGTTGTAGTTCCATCTGCCAGCCTCTACGTGACTAAACAACACAGTATAGATGTAGAGTCGGTGGAAGAAACCACAGTGCACAAAGGGGGAGTCACTCAGAAGTGTGTTGGATGTGAAAATTCTGCCAAAGGCTTTAGCTCCCAAAAATCTCAGAACCCACCAAAGAAGAAAGTATGCTGGCAGCTTTTTTTAGTTTCCTTTTTCTTTTTTTTTTTTTTCAAAAGGCTCCAACCCTTTTGCTGTTGGAACAGTAATTTAAATTTTCACACTCATATTACAGTGTGCATTGTGAGCCTTTAGATTACTTATAATCCCTTAAACATTTCAAATTTTCTGAAAGCAGGGGGTCTTTAGAACAAAAAGGTGGTATATTGCATTATATTTGCACAACTGCTAATCCAACCTATATTTTCAGAAATAAATACAGTAAAATTAATTTTATAGCACACAAACACAGTAAGATCTCCAATTGTAATATGTATAGGATGAGATTGTGTCGAGTAAATAGATACCAAACATGTCAAGCCTAAAAATTGCGTGCACCCGTGAAAAAGTTCATTGTTCACAGGTGGGGCTTTTTAAAATCTTATCAGCTCCTCAATTTTGAGTAAACTGTTAATAATGGCCCTAGAATTATTCCCTCCCATGGCAATATCCAATATACAATGCCCAGTTGCTGAATTTTTACATAGTAGCAGGGTTGGAAGTGCATTAATTTTTTTTTTATTTTGGGGGTCTATTCTCTAATGTCTTTTCCACACTGTCCCAGAACTTATGGACAGAAAGTCCTAATAAGCACCTACAATATATCGCAACAGCATCTGACTTTCATTCTCACGGTACAGAGAAGAAATTGGGCATCAGATCTCTCCTCTGTACAAACCCACTCACTGTCCTGAAGTCATTTTTTTTCTGGTGTTGGGTTCCCAGGAGGAGAGCCTGGGAACCATGGAGGCGGAAAGGACCTGAACATTAGACACCCAGATTTCTACAATATAGCCAGGAGCTTGCCTGATAAAATTCAAGACAAGCTCACCACCATGAGCTTATTTTATCTCTTTCAATGCATTCATCCGAATTCAAAGTTACTAAATCTTCCCCTTTAGTAGAAATCATGTGACAAAGATCTAAGCTTTTGTTGGAAGACCAAAAAAGACCCCTTTTTTAAGAAAACAAAGCATTCTAATCATTCTGTTACTCTGCATTTATCCATCCCTTTAAACTGTTAACACACTTGAGTGGTAGTCCACTTTAAAAGACACTTACTTGTATGTAATATCAGTGTGATCCCACTTCAAGTCTCCCTCAAAAGTCTGGAACTTTCCGACATCAGGCACTCCACAGCGAGGGGTCTTTATGGTCTTCATAGTCTCTGAGTCTAGTTCACCAGTTTCCTTAAGCCCCATCTTTCGCTGCATCCTTCGCAGGGACTTTTCTATGGAGGTATGTCTATCTTCACCAGTTTCTAATGGCAGGTACCCATATCGTGTTAGATATTTCTGTGGGGAATATAAATGTTTTCAAGGTACAGGAAACTGCAGAAGTATAAAGATAACAAAGTAACAAATACTGTGGCTTAAGCAGGCCATGGATAAGTCAAAAACCAAACAAAAATTCTTGGTTGTTAGTTTTTCACATCATCAGTGTGCCAGCTGCGACATGCCATTTTCATGTCACAGTTGAAAGTGCCTTATCCAGTATGCTGGATTTTGTTTAAAAACAAAAACAAAATAAATGATGGCACAATCATGTGCCATTTTCATTTTTCCGATCGACAGAATGCTCGGTTTTCGACTCGTCTATGACCTGCCTAAAGCAAACATTTGCCATTATACAAAATACATGAGGATAGACAAAGAAAAGAGAAGATTGGATAGTATGTGCATACCTTTTACATACAGGAGCTTTATTGTTCTCTGAGTTTGCACAGCAAAAAAAGTAGCAAAAGAATAGTCGAAAACAGTAACAACACTTACATCTCAAATATACAAAAATCAGAGTTCAGTAAACGTTCAACTCAAAATTAATACAGTATATGCAAATCATTATAAATTATCCTATATATACAAAACTGCCATGCAAATAAGTGAGTTCTTAGAATGCTATTATTCATAGAGCAGTGAAAACAGTATTCCATCCTGCAGCTGTTTTGTAAACCTGCCCACATACTTTAGAGGGTGGTCACACGTGCAGGAATGATCTGTCTGCCTTAGGGTAAAAACACTTTTTAGTGTGTTGCATAGCTCTGGAACTTACAATTTACGTAAACAGAGAATGGTAGAGGAAGTAGTGAATGAGGAAAATGCAGGATGCTTTCGCACATTGGGATCACTATTGAGAAGGACAGATTCTGTGCCCATAGACATTAGATGATTATCTTCTAAAAAAACTTTTTTTTTTACCAGATTAGGAAACAATATCATTTATATGGGTGGCACCCAACACTTTCATGATTTACTTGTCTGATCACATCTATCCCTTGACAGCAGCTGGCTGGAGTAATGGTTGTCCACCCAGGGACTTGTTGCCTAATTCATGTCTATGCCTCACTCCAATAAAGATTTCCATCTTTCTCATTACTGCATTCAAGATCCCAATCCTTCATACTCAAACCAAGATCCCCACCCAACTAAATTTCCCATCCAATTCCAAGTCCAACCAAAATCCCCATCCTATCCCCACATCTAACTAGGATCCCCAGTCATTCCTCAACCCAACCATTATCCCCTGCTGCCTAAAATCACTATTCACTCCCCTGGCCCAACCAAGGACTTTGTCAAACCTCCATATCTGACTAACATCCCTATTCTCCTCCCCACCAGACCAAATATTATCCTCATCCAACCCCTCCATCTGACAAAACCTCCACCCACCCCTAGCCCAACCACCTTTCCATCAAACTAAGATCCCCATTCACTCCCCCAGCTCATTCAAATTTCCATCCAACCCCGCAAGCTAAGATCCCCATCCATTACCATAGCCCAACCAAGATCCCTTTTCACCTCCACACTCCAACCAAGACCCCCAGCCCAAATAAAATTCCCATACATACGCTACAACATATCCAAAATCCCTACCAAACAACTATCCAACCAAAATTCCCATCTGCAAATCACCCTCCATTTTCATTCACGTAATAAATAACATAGTAAGCAGACATTTTACCATTACAAAAGCAAACACCTTACAGTTGATTCCAAACACATAGCTGCCTTGAAGAAATCAATAACTGGAGAGTCAATACGTGCAAATGTATGCATACACACTTTTGAAGAAGGGCTTCAGTCTAATTAAATAGCAGGCCCTGCTGTAAAATAAACTGCTGATGACATCACTAAGTACAATTAATTAGTGTTTTACCTACTTTGCTGATCTCCAGTCTGGTATCCGATTCCCTTGGATGATGTACCTGTGTTTACATCCTTCACTACTTTATGTAGACAGCACAGTTCTTATAAACCAGCCATTCTCAACTAGGCTTCTTCCAGATATTGCTGGGGGTTCCTTGAGCTGTGGCTGGTTAACTTCTATTTGATGGTGCCTACATAGCTTTAGGACTAACACAACTTGACAGAGCCAGGAGCATGACACCAATGATCTTTTTAGTTGTCTGTAAGGTGGCTGACTACCACTATAAGGAGGCCATCCTTCCTACTGACCACCATACTGACCACCAATGTAAGAGGCATTTTTCCCACTGAAGCCCAATGAATTGGTTTGGGCAGGGGTTTCTTGAGACCTGAAAATTATTTTAGAGGGTCGTCTAGGGTAAAAAAGTTGAGAAAGACTGATTTAAACAGTGCTGAAAGCCTACATTGCATCATGGGAGCATTTTTCCTGAGACCTTTTTAAAATAATGTGAGGGTCATCCTATGTAGCCATTTCAGACTATGTTTGAATGTCTTGATTTCTCGGATGCCATGGCATGCCATTCCTGCTGTTGTTTGCAAATAATTCAAAGGCATTCATTATTCTGACCCAAAATAGACAGTTTTACTATTTTTTTAAACTGTTTTATGATCAAGGTGTGCCTACAGCACAAAGCCCCTTGAATGCTCTACCCTGTTATTTTGACTTAAGCTGGCCATACACTTGTAGAACGGCGTTAAAAAAAATTTGGTTTTCTGAATGTTCAATTTTCTAATTTTTAGTAGGGTCAAATCAGTGTTCATTTTTAAACACAGTGAGAAAATAGAACATTCCCACAGTTGGAAGGAATTTCTAACAGTGTATGTAGTTTTCATTCGCAAAATTTCATTTATATTGAAATTGATTGTTAATACCAAAATTCCTGCCAAAAATTGCTAAAAGCAAATTACATTTTCAAGTACTTTCAAATGACATTCGTCAAGTCTCTGTTGACATTATCAATTGTAATTAGTTAAAAGTGCAAGCTTCAGTTGTAGGCATCTTGCAGGTTGGGTTACCTAGCTAGACAAATGGAAAAGTAGAAGTATATAAAAAGTTGCTACAAGTCTCACCTCTACTTGCTCCAGGTCAGTTAGGTTGCTGCGGATGTCTCCTGGGAATATGATGTTCATAGGTGTCTTATGGGATGTTGGGGCTGAGTGACTTGTGGCACACAAAGTGCCTAGCAAGACTAGGACTGCCAGCATTCCCATTGTAACTTCAAGTCCTTTCCCTTCCGATCTCCTTTCTGCATGCCTCCTGTCGATCTCCACTATATATACACCTTAGTAGCTGAATCACCTAACCTCAGACCGCAGGATTGTAACACATCAGGAGAGAGGGGAGGGGGCAATGTGTCACACAGAAGTATGGGGGAGGCGGGTTGTGTGCATGTGTCACATATATTAAAAATAAAAAAAACTACAGACATTTCATCATTGTTGTGTCAACATCCTGCTGTATAGCACCATATACATACAAACACATACTGTACATGTTATAAGGTTGCTCAATCAATAAATTCTCACTTTGTACACGCAGCACACAAGATACAAAACTCAGTAAAATCAAATGTTTTGCATTATCTATTAAAACATGAAATAAAACAATACTATACTAAACTACATACATATAATGGAAAAGTTAATAATGGAAAAGTTAATAATGGAAAAGTTTAATAATTGTGAACTTTATATGCTGTATAATTAATATATTTTTTTAAAGGCTTGTAAGACATGTACACCAAAGGAAGAAAAAGGTAAATATTCAAAACAGATAAATGGAAGACCAGAGGCATGAGTAAAACAAACAGACTTGTGTTAGCAAATGCAGGCAATGGGTTCTTAACTACTAAACAGCTACAGGGACTTTTCTTTTAGGAATGATCCAGTTTCCAAAGTTCTGCAATACGCAGATGAGAATTTTTCACTTTTTTCATTTATTTTAAAAACAGACTTTCATTGGATGTTGTGACATAGTTCTATGCTAATTTTATTATAAGGCCTCATGCACACTGGGCATTTTTAAAGCGGCTGTTTTTTGTTTCTGAGTTTTTTTTATACAGTTAGTAAAGTCCCCAAGCATGTTATCCTATGTGTCCATGCACACATAGGCTTTAATCAGCGTTTTTTGGCTGGAGCGTTTTCTGGCTGTAAAAAAAAACGAGAACTAGTGGGTTTCAAGAGGAGTTTTTTAGCTGTAAAAATGCTCTAATGCTGAAAAAAGCTGAAAAACGCTGATAAAAGCTGAAAAAAACGCAGCTGTCTGGAATTTTTGAGTGTTTTTGAGCCTGAAGATTTTGTGGGAATATAATTTTGCTGAAAAATGCTGAAAAACACAAAAAAAGCTGAAAAAAGCTAATGCAAAAAAACTAAAACCGCAACAATACTCACGTTTTTAATGCAGCATTCTACAGCTAATCCTACTGGCATTTTTATAAGGGCCAGTGTGCATGAGGGCTTATACTTTTACTTAATGAGGAGCAAAACATCTCAAGTTGGCCATACATCAGTAGAATTTTGTTTGGAAAAAATAGTTTTTTGTCCTGGTAAATGAAAAACGCTCTAGGATCCTCTTGGACACTCACGAGAGATTTATCAAAACATGAACACCATGGATCCAACATGCCCATCTGACCATATAAATAGATAATTTAATTTCACATAAAAACCCAGACCCAGGCACTTTAGACGATCTCTTCTAGATCTTATCTTGTCTTGTCTCTTTCCCCTTCTCACCTCTTTCCTTTCCCTTTCCCCTTTTTTTTTTCTTTGTCTACTCTATCGGCTCTTCCACAGGGACAAATCACAATATACTCTATATTTTTTGATTCAAATGTATACTGTATGTATTTCAAATGTTGTTATTCTTTCACTATTGTCAGCCGCTCAGCAATAGGTGTATAGCCTTCCTGTGCCCTTCTGCTGCAGTACTGACTCGGGCAGCACAGTGGCTAAATGGTTAGCACTTCTGCCTGGCTGTACTAGGGTTGTTGGTTTGAATCCCAACCACAGTACCACCTTCCTGGAGTTTGCATGTTCTCCCTGTGCCTGCGTGGGTTTCCTTTGGGTACTCCGGTTTCCTCCCACACTCCAAAGACATGCTGGTAGAATTGGATCCTATCTAAATTGGCCCTAGTATGTGTATGTATGAATGTAAGTTAGGGACTTTAGATTGTACGCCCCTTGAGGGTTAGTGACTGATGTGAATGTACAATATATATGTAAAGCGCTGCGTAAATTGATGGTGCTATATAAGTACCTGAAATAAATACATTCATTTTCTTGCTTCAGTTATCTCTCCTTTGACATAAAAATTACTTGTTTTAGCCTATGGATATATGTTCCAATGCACGACCACAATTAACTGTTCCAGTTGATGTCTACTTCATGGTTTATGTACAAGATAGCGGTTGCATTTGTACCATTTAAAACTAAAATGATTCAATAAAAACATACTGAAAGGAAAAAATCTGTTTTTGGAGCTTTCGTTCAATTTTCTAGTTAATGGTGTCAAGCTGGCAATCATTTTCGACTGTAGTGATAGGAAAAATTGATGGAAAATTTTTCTTGAATGAGCACAATTCCAACTGTATGTGGTTTTCATTCAGGAAAAAAAAAGCATGCATTTCTTTAATGTGAATGTGCACATAGAAATTCAACAACACTGGCATGGCAATAGAACAACATTTTTCAGGGTTTTCATAGAAAATTTGCCAAGTTCATATTGATACTGTTGAATTTGCGATGACAAATAATTGTTTTGAAATTCCATAAGAACATTCAAACGGAATTCTCCTGGTGTATGGTCAGTTTTAGTCTAGCATCATCCATTTACACACGTTTACATCAGTTTGTACATCCACCTTTAGTTCAGTTCAGTTTACATCAGTTTGCACTTCAGTTTTGATCAGGTTAGATCATTTCTCATCAGTCTACATCCGTTTTTACATTTTTTTTTTAGTTGTTACCAATCATATCTGACAAAAGTATACACAAAAAATGTTTCATGCAGTGATCACAAGCAAGTGATTGTCTCTGGATGCAGACTGCCTGGATCCAGGGCCCATCACTTGCATGTGATTGCTGTATCAGCAATTACATGCAAATGGCTCCAATTAGCTGCGGGAGAAGTGTGGAATTTCAAAAAACGTAACATACTCACCTTGGTGGATGCAGCACTGGTCCAATGTGGCATCTGTCCCCTGCCTCCTCTAAGCCTGAAAACTGAGTGATCAAAGACCACTAATTGCTCAGGTCTCAGTCTTCAGAGAGCAAAGAGCGGTGACTGTCAGTCCCAGGTTCTCTGGTCTGCCCCTCCAGCACTCACTGGAGAACCAGTTTTGGCCCTATTTCTACTTTAACCCCCTTGGTGCCGGTGCCTCCTGGTCCTTTAAGGGTTTCAGAAGCCGGGAGGCAGGGTGGGGTTTTAGGGTCATGTGACTGCCGTGATTCACCGTCACGGTGGTCACATGATCGGGAAAGGTCCCGATCAAAAGAGGAGATCAGGACCTTTCCGTGAGTACCGGACATGTGTGCTGGGAGCACGCAGGGCGCGCGCTCTCAGCACATATGTTTTTCTTAATTGCACACAAATGTGTGGCCGCTCGGCATCAAGGACCAGACGTCGGAAGGCCGCACATTTGCGTGTGGCCATAGCCAAGAGGTTAAGAAAAGACAAAACACCTATGAACAGCTGATAGAGCAGATTATAACAATATCTCATTATACAGTATGTCTGAGGAATGGAAAGGTTCACTTTGAATCGTAGACTATATCTAACCTCCCAGAGCGGTGGCTAAGCAATTGTGTGAAGTGGAAGTCATGATTGCAACAATCCTACCCTCAACTTTGGCTAAGACCCAAATGTGATGGTTCATTGATAAACAGAAAAAGGAGTTCCTGAAAGGCAGGTAATTGTACAATTCTTGGGGTCTTACGACTAGTTTAGGCTAGGAGGTATTGGGGGAAAGAAAAAAGCCTTTCTCAATTAGGATTTTAGAGAACTCTACGGTTCCTCCAGAGGTTGCTAGAACATTATTTGCCTCTCAGATAAGTAACTACTGGTGACAATGATGTTCTTAGTTATCTGTAAGAGGGGAATTCTTCCCACTGATGACCAAGGAAAAGTCAACCATAGATGGAGCGAGATGTTGCTGGGGGAATCCCTCCCACAGAGGGGGGTGGAGCAATTGTGTTCTCTCGGCAGTAGGGGGTGGAATGCTGGGTGAAGGGAGCCATCCCTACCAGGAGAAAACAGTAATTACTCCTAGCGGCTATAATATCTGCTGGCAACAATCACATGTAAAATCCGACAGGCTGGTTGTACCCAAGTTGATCGATCGATCAACTTGGGTACTGAAGAAAATTTGAAAAAACACATAATATTCTTGAGTGTCTTTAGGTGATTGTAAAAATAAACATACTGTATTAAAGTGGGGAAAACTTCAATTGCTTCTACAGCAGGAAATATTGCATTACATCCTATAATTATTATATTTATCAGGTACATTCAGCCTGCCCATACAGGGTTCGAATCTCAGCCGGTCCCTGATGAACCATCTATGGCGGCATTCGTCCCCATGCTAATGTACCATAAGTTGGAGATGTTGGAGAGTAAATATTGGCAGATATTCCTTGAGACCTGAAAAATATTTCATAATATTCAATAATATTCCAATAATTTTTATCATTAGAGATTAAAGGAAAGGTGCAATATCTTTTAACCAGTCATGACATATAGGGCTGGTATTAGGTAAGTTTTGGATATCGGAAATCAGAAGTCAAAAATCCATATATTACTTGGTCAGAAGACATAGCAGTAATGCAGAGCCATACAAAGCAGTGTGCAGGAGCTGACAGGGGAGAGATCTGTGTTGTTTATACACAGGTCTCTCCCCCGTTGGTGATACTCAGAGATCACCGGCCAGGACCCGGTGATTGACAGCCAAGGCCGCGAATGGCGGCGCAGGTAGGGCATGCGCCCACCTACCTAGAACTGCAAAATCATGTATATATACACACAGGGGCAGACTGATAACTCATGGGGCCCCCGGGCAATAGGGGATCATGGGGCCCCTGTGTCCTTGCCCAAACTCCAGAAAGCCTATGAAAAAGGTACCAGGGGTATCTCATGGGGCCCCCCAATGACCCCGGGCCCTCGGGCAGTGCCCAAGTTTCCAAATGGTCAGTCCGCCCCTGTACACACATGATTTTGCGCACCCATGCCACCCTGTAGCAGAATTTCTCCTATAGGGTGGCACGGAAGCAGTTAATATACTACAGCCCCTAAGATTCTGTGGGCTTCTGCCAACCTGAAAGTTATGTGAAGGGTTCCTCTATATTAAAAAAAAAAGGTTGGGAAAGGCCGCACTACAGTGTGAATGGACATACAGATGTGATCTGATCACAATCAGTATCTTATAGCTAAGACCTGAACACAAAAGAATACCTGGAATCTGTAACCAAAATATCACTTCTGTGTGGACTGATCGTTGGAGTATATGTTAACATGAAGGGATTGAATATAATAAATAATGCCCTTGTTATGATCGATCGATCAATTGATCTCTCTATCTATCCTAATGTATTTTTTGTGCACTGACCTCAATCATTAGGGTAAATATATTTTGTTTTGTGTCACCCATAAACAAAACTCTAAATGTATTGTGAGATCACAAAGAATGTTACACATCCTAAATCAGCAAGACACAACCACTCAGCCTTACTCAGCAGCACAACCACGACGGCCTTATTCAGCAATACACAACCACACACCTTGCCTCAGCAGTACACAACCACACTCAGACTCAGCAGCAGGAGGACACAAATGGACATATAATCTTCAAGCTGCTTGTCAGAGGACAGAGTACTTTTTGCCGTCTGTAAAGATGTAAATGACAGTGTATGTGACTGCTACTGGTTCCTGTTGTACCCGTCAATGTGTATCTAGATATTGCCAGTCTGGATCATGTCAGCCCAATGTTAAATTAGAAAATATGGTTTAACCACTTGCCCTCCTGAGGATTCCCCCCCCCCCTTCCTGACAGGCCATTTTTTGCGTTATGGCACTGCGTTACTTTAACTGACAATTGCGCTGTCATGCAACGCTGCACCCAAATTACATTTATGTACTTTTTTCCCCACGAATTGAGCTTTCTTTCGGTGACATTTGATCACCTGTGCGTTTTTTATTTTTTGCACTATATTTTTGAGAGGAAAAAAAAGCTATATTTTTTACTTTTTGCTATTAAAGATGTCCAGTGAAAATGTAAAAAAAAAATCTAATTTCGTCATAAATGTAGGCCAAAATGTATTCTGCTCCATGTCTTTGCTAAAAAAAATTCCAATACATGTAAATTAAATGGTTTATGTGAAAGTTTTAGCGTATACAAATGGCGGTATAGATACTGGGATTTTTTTTCTTTTTTTACTAATAATGGCTGCGATCCACGACTTATAGCGGGACTGCAGTGGGCATTCTGACACTGGGGGAACTGACTTGGTGTCACTGACATCCCCAGTGTTACTAGTAATGGTGGCGATCTTCGACTTATAGCGGGACTGCGGTGGGCATTCTGACACTGGGGGGAACTGACTTGGTGTCACTGACATCCACAGTGTTACTAGTAATGGCGGCGATCCACGACTTATAGTGGAACTGCGGCGGGCATTCTGACACTGGGGGAACTGACTTGGTGTCACTGACATCCACAGTGGTACTAGCAATGGCGGCGATCCACGACTTATAGCGGGACTGCGGTGGGCATTCTGACACTGGGGGGAACTAACTTGGTGTCACTGACATCCACAGTGTTACTAGTAATAGCGGCAATCCACGACTTATAGCGGAACTGTGGTAGGCATTTTGACACTGGGGGGGGACTGACTTGGTGTCACTGACATCCCCAGTGACACCAATACAGTGATCAGTGCTAAAAAGAGCACTGACATTGTACTAATGGCACTGGGCAGGAAGGAGTTAACATGATGGGCGATCAAAGGGTTACCTGTGTTCTGTTTTACTTTTGTCTGTGCTTCACTGTAATCACACTGCTTTGGATGGCTGTGTTGTGCACAGCCATCTAAAGCAGTGTGCACAAGCTGACAGGGAGGAGAACTGTATTGTTTACATACAATTCTCCTCCCTGTCTGAGATGCTCGGCAATCACTGGGCGCCGATGAGTATTCACTGGCTGGGACCCGGTGATTGGCAGCCGCAGCTGCTAATGGCGGCGCGGGTAGGGGGTGAAATCACGTATATATACATGTGATTTTGCACACCCGTTCTGCCGTGTAGCAGTATATCTTCTATAGCGCGGTCGGGAAGCGGTTAAAGGACATACCAACCATATGCTCCCAGTTTGTTTTTATTATGTGAGAATGTGATCAATTTAATGTAATTTATTTTATTAGTGAGTGTTAAAGAAATAATTAGATGTATGGATATTTCTACATTATATTGGTCTAGTTACACCCATACCATACCTGTGGGATGCCCATGGAAGTTTGGATTATACATGTGCAACACAAAAACATTTGTTTTGTTTCGTTTCGATTCAAAATCTAACAAATTTCGTGCAGTTGGTTTCTGTAAATTTTTTCAATTCGTTTTCGGGATTTGTTTCGGTAAATCATATTCAAATTCAATTCGAAAACATTTCAGCCGAATTCGAAAAGTCGTTCACATTCTAAAAGTGGTTCAACCGAATTCGAAATTGATTCAACAAACTTCGAAAAGCCGTTTGAAATCTGAAAGATTTCAACCAAATTCTAACAAATTTGACTCAATTCGAAAAGTCAAGCTAGCCATACATACAAAATAAAAATAAATAAATAAAAGCAACTACAAAAACTGTATCTGCTGACTTTTAAAAAATGGACACTTACCTGTCCCTCAATCCCATAGTGTCCCCACCCGCCTGCAGCCCGTTTCAGTGGCCACCCTCTGTTCACGGAGCTGGCATCTTCAGTGTGCACACTCGGCTGGACAGGCTGTGCTTCAATGCTCACTTCGCATGAGCGAGCAGCACAGGGCTTTGTGAATGGTCCTGTAGTCTTCTGGGACCTGTCACGTGTCCCAGAAGACTACGAAGAGGGAAGAGGGAGGACAACTTCCGCTCCCAATCGCCTTGGAGATCGCAGAAGAAGTGGGAGCAGGTACCTGTAAATTTTGAGTACCTGCTCCCCCCTCCCACCCACTCCCCAAAGGTTCCAATCCTTAACGGGGATCGGGAGACCAGTCCTTAAAGCGGAACTTCTCCTTTTGGGTGGAGCTCCGCTTTAAATTGGTTTTGGAATGTTTGTTTGATTTTGTTTTTGAGTTTCTTTTCAAATTTGATTTAGATGTTTTCGAATTCGAATCTCTTTTCAAATCGAATTTTGGTCGAATTTCGTTTCGTTTTTTCTGATTCGTTTAAATTCGTTATTTTTTGGAATTCTGCATTATTTTAACTGACAATTACACGGTCATGCAACACTGCACCCAAATACATTTTACATCTTTTCCCACAAATAGAGCTTTCTTTCAGAGGTATTTGATCGCCTTTGTGTTTCTTGTTTTTTGCGCTTTAAACAAAAAAAGATCGTCAATTTTGAAAAAAAACCCTATATTTTTGACTTTTTGCTATTAAACATGTCCAGTAAAAAAATTCTTCATAAATTTAGACCAAAATTTATTCTGCTACATGTCTTTGCCAAAAAAATCCAACTACGTATATATACTGGAATTTTTATTTGTTTTATTTATACTAGTAATGGCTGTGATCAGCAGCTTAGAGCGGGACTGCGGCGGGCATTCTGACACTGGGTAGGAACTGACTAACTGCCACTGACATCCCAATGAACGCTAATACAGTGATCAGTGCTAATAAAAAGCACTGACACTGTACTAATGACACTGGGCAGGAAGGGGTTAACCTACCAGGCACCTATACCCCCTTTCCTGCTTCCGGCCAGAGCCAATTTTCAGCTTTCAGTGCTGTCACACTTTGAATGACCATTGCGCGGTCATACAACATTGTACCCCTATGAAATTTTTATAATTTTTTTGAGACAGATAGAGCTTTCTTTTGGTGGTATTTAATCACCTCTGGGGTTTTTATTTTTTGCTAAACAAACCAAAAACAACTGAAAATTTTGAAAAAAAAATGTTTTTTCTTAGTTTCTGTTATAAAATTCTGTAATTAAGTGATTTTTCTCCTTCACTGGTGTGCGCTAATGAGGCAGCAGTGATGGGCACTGATAGGTTGCACTGATGGGTACTGATAGGCGGCACTGATGGGGAGGCACTGGTAGGTGGCATTGATGGGCATTGACAGGCATCACTGATGGGCACTGAAAGGCAGCACTCATATATGGCACTGATAGGAGGCACTGATAGGTGGCACTGTCTGGCACCGATAGGCAGCACTGACTGGCACTGTTAGGAGGCACTGATAGGCAGCACTGATGGGCACTGATATGTGGCATTGATGTGGCACTGATGGGCACTGACAGGTGGCATTGATGGACACTGACAGGTGGCACTGATGGGGCTACACTAATCATCAGGTCACACTGATCATCAGTGCCCTGATGATCATTGTACATGTCCCCTCTGAGTAATGCTGATTACTGGCTACCCTCTCCTCACGAGCTGTCACTGTGACAGCTCATGAGGAGAGGAATGCCGATAACTGGCATTTCCTTATTTACATGCGATCAGCTGTGATTGGACACAGCTGATCACATGCCAGAGCCGACGGCTCTTTCCGTTGATTGGTGATCCGCTGTGTCCCAGGGACACAACACACCACCGATTAGAGTTGGAGGACATCATATGACGTCCTCCCAGAACGAGAGAACCGTCTTGCGCCCGTCATTACTTTATATGGCGGACGGGAGGTGGTTAAAAACGCTTCTAAACACAAAACGCACATAAACACAGTATGCAAACACAACTAAACTGATGTTTTCTACCAGTCAGTTTCCAGCGGACAGAAGAGTTTTTCCAAATGCCCCGTGTACATGAGCCCTAACTGTAGAATGTAAACAATTGTAACACATACCCCAGGCTTTACATTGTGACCTGCATTTTATGAATGGGCTGTAAAATGTCGACAGTGTTGTAGAGTTTAGCATATAGGGGTATTGTCTTTCCACTTTAAGGACACCCTTTTTTTTTTTTTTTTTTTTTTACCCCATTTCCCTCAAAACTAGTAATGTCCAAGAAAAGCTTAAAATAAATTCTATAAAAACAAACTGTAATACTGTACAAATTTTACAGCATTGCATAACATTCCTTCTCAGCCTGGATGCGGTGACAGATTCTGCTCATTGATATATATTTTTTAAACCCAATGCCCTAGAAAGACGTTTTCTTCTTGTCATTTCCTGTGAGTATGGTCACTTCAGTATCTGGGAAAAATCCCTATGAATCACAAGACGTGAGGAAGTACCCAGAGGCTGCAGGCTGTAGCGACCTGGAACCTAACATTGCTGCAGGACTAGACTTGCTTCCCTATGTACATAATACACACCTGTTCCTATGCATTACTATTAGCCTTTCGCCAGCCCTTAGCACATAATCTGTCCACAGCATTGCACTTTCCTGTCCCTTTCGGGAAGCCATTTCTCAAGAACGTTAGCTTGTTTTCTTGTAGGTTCCAAGAATATTAGGAAACCGCGTCAAACCACAAGGTTGGGGGGGGGGGGAGTGAAGAAAGGTAGTAGAGGGGGAAGAGAGATGGAAGGTATCAAAATTCATACATGGTATTTATTCATTAGGACAGGAATATCTTTACAGTATACATTTCTGTATGAACCAAAGGTTAAATTTTTTTTGTATTAACAATTTTTATTAGTTTTCACATATATATATACACATACAAGCAGTAAATTAAAGACAAAAAAAAAAAAAAAAAAGGAACACAAGAGAGAAAAAAAAGGTAGCACCTCGATGGTGAAACCTGCATGGTAGGTTCCATTTTTTTAAATAATAAAATAATAAATACATAATAATAATAAAACATTATTCTGTTCTAGCTTACATATTAAGTCAGAGAATAGAGGTTATCCAATAGGTATTTGATATTGAGAAAGCGAATGACTGCACATGAGTTACAATTCTCCAGGCAGGCAATCAATCACAGCAGCGCAGTGTCTTGTGCCAGGTCAGACAGCATGCTGAACCCTGTCAAATCACATTTTCTACTGACCTGATGCTTATGGAGAACCTATCATCCAGCTTGAGCTGTCTACGTCTCCCTTAGAGGGTTAGGCTCCGTTCACACTTGGGCGACTTGTCATGCGACTTTGGACAAGTCGCAGCTCATTGTTTTTTCAATGGCACCCGTTTGGAGCTATGGGACTTAAAGTTTCAGCAAGTTTGAAACGATTGCTGCTCTACGTTGATGCGACCTGAGTGCCATCAAATTTGCATCTCATTTCAAAGTCGCACTGGAACTTTGGAGTCGTACAAGTGTGAACGGAGCCTTGAAGGAGCATCCTGCTATTTTCTAGCAATAGAAAAGGCTGAATACAGCCTAATAGACAGTGGGCTTTAGGTGTTACTAAATCCACAACAGTAAAATCAGTCTGTATATGTAGTAAAATATGCTTGTTATACTCACTGTGGAACGTAAGGGGTTAATCCTCTGCATTGTGTAAAAAAAGATGTTTGATCCTGTCTTCTCTGGTCCTCCCCTTCTTCCACAGTCCCCAATCCATCTGCTGATAAAACAGAGCCTTGGGGCAAGCTGCACGTGCTCAGTTTTCTGTGTATTGCTAGAGAGGTTTTTTTTTTTTTGGCAGAGTGCATGTGATCAGCACAGGGCCAATCAGCACTGTCCAGTCAGAGGGTCAGGGGTCCTGCAGCTTCATAGGACAATCAGGGGAGAATGAAAACTTCACCTACAAGCTTTAACCAGTGCTCTGCTGGTTACTAAATATAAGTCACAACACTGCTCTAACTGCTCTAACTGCTCTAACTGCTGATGGGAAAAGGTATTTACTAAAATAATTGCACTTCCATGTTCTGTGTACTGTGGGAGACCAGATATAGTGAATGCAGGGTCCTTGGTTTAGTAACACTTTCATTTTGTATCTAGAGCCAAAATATTTTTTGGGAAAAGGTTAAAACCTTTTTATTTTTTTTTTCTGTCCATGTCCCCACAGGGAAGTCTCACTCTCTTCCTGTCCAGGTCTTTGTCCTTGTGTTGTCTGGATTGAAAGTGATGTGAAAATCCATCTACCAGAACAGAAATTGAGAGGAAATCCTCTACTTCAGGGGTATTGAATTAAAATTCAAGGAGGCCCATTCACTAAGATCTTCTTCTGGCCCAGGTCCAAAAATAAATATCCCCATTAGTGTTGCCCCTTTACATCAGGTATTGCTGTCAGAGTGCCCCCTTACACTCAAAGTACCCCTTTCCATCGTATTTCCCTTAAGAGTGCCCCTTTCCATCACATGTGCCCATCAGAGTGCCCCTTTCCATCGTATGTGCCCATCAGAGTGCCCCTTTCCACAGTATGTGCCTATTTGTGCACCCTTAACATAACATGTGCCCATCAGAGTGCCCCTTAACATAAAAGATGCCCATCAGAGTGCCCCTTAACATAAAAGATGCCCATCAGAGTGCCCCCTTAACATAAAAGGTGCCTATCAGAGTGACTCTTAACATAAAATAAGCAGCATGCTGATGGGCACATTTTATGTTAAGGGGCACTCTGATGGGCACATTCTAGGTTAAGGGGCACTCTGATGGGCACATTCTAGGTTAAGGGGCACTCTGATGGGAACATTTTATGCTAAGGGGCACTCTGATGGGAACATTTTATGTTAAGGGGCACTCTGATGAGCACATTTGATGCTAAGGGGCACTCTGATGGGCACATTTTATGCTAAGGGACACTCTGATGGGCACATTTTATGCTAAGCGGCACTCTGATGGACACATTCTAGGTTAAGGGGCACTCTGATGGGCACATTCTAGGTTAAGGGGCACTCTGATGGGCACATTCTATGTTAAGGGACACTCTGATGGGCACATTCTATGTTAAGGGACTCTCTAATAGGCACATTCTATGTTAAGGGACACTCTAATAGGCACATTCTATGTTAAGGGACACTCTGATAGGCACATTCTATGTTAAGGGACACTCTAATAGGCACATTGTATGCTAAGGGGCACTCTTATGGGCACATTCTATATTGTGCCCATCAGACTTACCCTTAGCAGTAAATGTGCCCATCAGCATTACTCTTTAACATTAAATGTGCCCATCATAGTGCCCCTAATATAAATGTGCCCATTAAGGTCCCCCAGAAAGAACACACCCTACCTTGAGGGCAGACAGGAACGGGAGGCAGGAGCTCGCTGGGATTCTTTCTGAAGGAGGCGGGGTGCACGCTTGTAGACTGGCAGGGAGCGGAAGCTGGGAGAGACAGCAAGCTGCATGGCCTACATATAAACACAGCCTTCTGATGTATAGCACTGCTGAAAACAGCAGTCTTTTCTTATCCAGATGTTATAAACATGGCAAGCAACCCCCCCCCCCCAAAAAAAAACACAGTTTACTATGCTTCCGCTGTGAACAAACACAGTGAGTGATCGGTACCGATCCTGCATTGTGTTCATTCAGCAAAGGAAGGGGCTGATAAATGTGACATATTTACCAGACCCTTCCTCTACTGTCCATCCCGAAAGATCCTATTGTGTTCTTAATGAAAAGAAAGGAGGGAAGCCAGAAGCACTGTGGGGGTGGGGGCACACAGTGGGACCTGGACATCAGGGGGAAACGTATGGTGCACAGGGAGGGTGATGGGTGCAGCAGGAGGGCAATTACTGGAACTGATCCCCTGTATGGCTCTCTCTGCAGCAGCTGAACGCCAGTGGGAGGGAGAGGAGAAGAAGCCAGATTCCAGCTGCTGCAGAGAGTCATACAGGGGATCTGTTCCAGTAACTGACACCCCCCTACTGTGCCGATCACCCTCTCTGCTCACATCCAATTCACCCAGCTGCCTGGGCCCCCCTGCTGGCCTGGGCCCCATACAAGAGTAGTGGTGTACTCCCTTATCCACAGTGCTACAAGCAACAAGTATCATAGAAGAGATACTGTCCACCTGATATACAGAAAAATTACAAGTGGGCTTGCCGGAGGGTAATCCAGTTATCCACTAGTTATAGAAATGAATCATTTTAGAATGTGTGTTGCTTTTACATATTCATGAATTTAAATGGGAATTGTTTGTGCTTACAGCAGAATTAAAGCCACCGTTTGTACTTTAAACAAAATGTAAGCCCACTATGACAGAATTAAGTCCCGATTACAATGGGCCACCTGCATTTGTTTTATTTAAATGTAAGAGAAATTGATCCGGGAAGTATAGTCCTACACGCTCCTGCCAAAGCCATTGTGCAGAACAGCCACTGTATTGACTTTGTCTCCATGGGGAGCTAAACAGCGCATGAGCACACCGTCATCCATCCTGGCATCCAGGAGATCCCGGGGAAGCTATTGACTCTGCCTGGATGGTGTCACTCTCTTCTGACGTGTTCTCTAGTGATAGCTGTCACTATGAACAGCAAGTATGAATATCTGTCACCTGTCCTGACACCTCCCTCTCTGGATATAGTGACAGTAATCATGGGAGAAGACATCGCCAGAGGAGAGTGACGTCATCCTGGCACAGCATAAAATGCTTTTCTGGCATCTCCTAATGACTGAACAGGTGATGATGTGCACTTGGGCTGTTTAATTTCCCATGGAGAGTAAAACAATCAAGAGGTTGTTCCTGCAGGATTGGTGTGCGCAAATGCTTTCAAGGTGGACCTACGTTTGATTTAAAGTGGCTTTATTCCATATATTAAATTAGAAGAATAAATGCAGAAACTTTGAACTTTAAAGGGGAACTCCACTTTCATGGGGGAAAAAATTGCACATAAAATAATATAGCATATACGATTGCAACAAAAGTCATATTGTAATTGAATGTCATTAAAAATTACTTTTCCTTTTCAATCTGCAGCGCTGTAATTTTCCGTAAAATGCAATGCAATATGGCTACCGAAAGGAGTACAGATGGTGCACAGCCCCCTCCCCGAAATGTAATATCTTGATTTTGTGATTGGCTCACTGATTTTCCCAGCCATCTGTACTAAGATACATGCAGTGGCATCCCTAGGCAGGTGCATGGGGTGCGCACCACAAATCGCATAAGATGACACCGGACCCTCTCCACAAGTTCCATGAAAAGGAAAGTTTTAAAGCAAGCCAACAATCCCCATAAGATGGATCGGATCTGCGGATTGAGCATAATGGATCGGAGTCCAATCCATTATACTCCCCAATCCGCAGATCCGATCCATCTTATGGGGATCGTCGGCTTGCTTTAAAACTTTCCTTTTCATGGAGCTCGTGGAGAGATCAGTTAACCCTGTATAGGTTGCAAGCCAACGTTCCCCGCACGATGGATTGGATCTGCGGATTGGGGAGGATAATGGATCAAACTCTGATCTATTATGCTCAATCCACAGATCCGATCCATTCTGCGGGGATCGTCAGAAGGGTGATACCAAGTGTTACCGCACCGGATGACACCAACCCTAGGGACGCCCCTGGATACAAGTCAGATTTTGTGGCGATCCCCTGCAACAAAAATTTAATTTTTGGTGAAACACTCCCAAAGAGAAATCATGCCTAAAGTGATGCAGACCCTGCCACTTTCCTTCTTAACAGGTTACTAAACCTGCAACAGTAAAATCATTCTGTATATGCAGTAAAGCATGCTTGTTATACTCACTGTGGAACCAAAGGGGTTAATCCTCTGCATTGTGTAAAAAAGGCTGTTTGATCCTGACTTCTCTGATCCTCCCCTTTTCTACTGTTCCCGGTCCATCTGCTGACAGAACAGAGCCTCGGAGGCAAGCTGCACATGCTCAGTTTGGTGTGTATTACTAGAGAGTTTTTTTCTTGTGAGGGTGCATGTGATCAGCACAGAGCCAATCAGCGTTGTCCAGACAGAGGGTCAGGGCTTATGCAGCCTCATTGTGTAATCTCCAGATCACTCCTGTCTGAGCTTACACTGGGCTGAGGACTCTTCCCGTTCCATGTAACAGTGCTGTCACCTAGAGTGTCACATGCTCTGTTCCATACCTGGAAGTACAGGGTATTTTCTTTGCTCCAAGTGGTTGTACAGGGATAATGAAGAAAGATAAGTATGTACTGTTGCAGAGGGGGGCATTAACGTATATATGTAAACCCTAACCTTTCAGTGGGTTTTATATATACATATAAAAACATTAGAAAAGATCACATACCCTCTGTTCCCAGCTGCATAAGGAGCTCAGGGAGCTGAAGGAGGAGAAACAACAGCACACTGACCTTACCAGGAAATGGCTGTGCAGGGGGGCGAGCTAGCATAAGTCTGATCATTGAAGGAGAGCAAGCTGAGTTTCCAGCAGAGCTAGAAAACTGACCATGCTATGTTCTCATGGCTAGTGTGGTCAGTTTTTTTTAGGAAAGAGGTAGTGGCATGAACACAAGGGATCACACACAAAGGAAGCAGAACAGGATACTTTTTCATACAAGTACATGGTACAGCAGGCACATATCAGAAATATGAAATGTTTGGTTTACAGACTCGTGGCTTTACCCTGCATGGGCCAAGCACAGCTTTCCTTTAGGTGATAACCTTTATTGGCTAACTAATATTACAACACTCTGCTGCTACTGTATGATGAATTAATGAAATTTAAAAAATTATATTCAGTGGATATTGCTGCTGGCTACTTTTTGTCTGATAGATTTATACTTGCAGCCATCAATTCTCATTAGAATGTCTTCTCTCAGGACAACACAATGGTTTATTTAGCACTCAATAATGAAG